AAGCTGGCTCAGTCTTTTGGATTCCCTCTCTAAAGGACACCGTATAAAGTGTTACTGGCAGCCTTGCTGCACTGCAGTTCCAGTCAAGTTACAAGCTATGTTTTTTTCTTATTGCCTGCACAACCCAGGAAATATGCAGCTCTAATGAGAAAAGCTTTAACTTCTCATTTTCTCTCTAATGCAACCTTAAGATTCAGATTAGTTACATGCATAAGTCAAATGCGATGTTCTGGGTACCATCAATCACATCTGGTTGCTGCAACCAGCGCGGGGAAAATTCAAACTGACAACAAGCCTCTCTACCTTGTCATATTTTACATTACCTGCTGTCTTCTTCCAGAAAGGCAGAAAAACTGTATTCCAGGGTATCACTCTAAGAAAAAGGTCACGTTTACACTGCAGAGGGAGCAGAGGAAGTCATAAGCTCAGTCAATTAATATCTGTAGAGACTGGCTGAGCTACAGCAAGCCGTTTTCACCACTGTGGATGCCCATCACCTACACTATAATCTCCCCTACATGAGAGATACCCTATAACAGATATATGCTGTCTGCACAAGCTTAATGGCTCCACAAGCAAGTTTTCCTGAAATAATGCAACACATGGGTTTAACTTGCATTGACTGTACATGCTGCCAGCTCCTGTTCTGTTGGAGATGCACACCATCCCACCCACCAAGAAATGTAAGTTAGTATTAGATATGGAAAAAAGAGACTCACCAAAGCAGAGTTGCCACTGCCCAGGTTACACACACCCTGTTCTCCTTTGCAGACACAAAGAAAAACACCCCCAAAAACTATATAAATACTTGGGCGCAGCAGACCATCATATGCTGAAGAATTACGCATTCATCTTCTTGCAACCTGCTCCAAATAGTTTGATTGAATTACATTTTTGTTTACACTAAATAAGAAATTTCAAACCAAAATACATGCTCTGTAACAATACCACCCAAAATGAACACTAAACGAAACAGAAACACATACAAAAATACCCAATAGGTGTTAAATGTTGCCACAAATCCTTTAGCTTTTAGGCAGACCTTACATTTGTCCTTTTACAAACCTACAACTGCACAACGCTGCTGGGTCACACCTTCTAATTCTCAATGAGCATTCAGTCAGACACAACTTAAAACCACGAGCAGCTCCCATTGGCATGTCAAATACTGTTTTGCGTCAGTGAGACAGCACTAAGAGCTACACTGACAGAGTCCTCATGTTTGAAGGACTGAGTCTTTATTGTACGTGGGGCTGCATTTTTAGAGGCATATGAATTAACATGTGCCTCACATTGTAACAACTCTTATCACCAAAACACCCTGCAACGCTAAGCAAAAGACTTGCTTGTTGGTTTCACTAAGTGAAGAACCACAGTACTTGCTCAAGCCTTGCTATCTACACCACCAGACATTGAAGGCAGTCACTCAGCCCAGGCCTTCAACCCTTCTCTGTGATTCCACTGTATCAGAGCAAGTTTGAATCTAGGCTCCTTCCCTACACATCTGACACTGTGCACCTTTGCTATCTCAGGAGGCTGGCATACAGCCTCTCTTTCGCATGCTGGAAAAACACAGGTTATCTTTTTGGAATTGGGACCAAAGGGAAGAAATCTAAATGAGCTCTGGTGTCCAAAGCATCCTTCCCTGGCACCCAGGCAGCAGGAGAGCTCAGCAGAGACCAGTGCCGCATCCTCCTCACCTGAGCATGCATTTTATTGAAGACTGTTTCCTAATGTATCCTAATAGTGAGTTCTTGCTACTTCTTAAAAATTACTTTCCTGAAGTACTCCAGTAATACTTAGAAGCTGCTGCTTAAAAGCAGCCCAGATTACTTCCTACTAACATGTAACTCACCACCCACCTCAACTAACCCCAACACAGCACTGTGCCATGGTCTCAACACAGATTACTCCTGTCCCTGAAGTCACAGCTGTCCTCCAGTAGCCTCCCACAGCCGTAGCTAGACACCGAGTGACCATAACCACCTCTGAAGTAGATCAGCAACACTGTCCAGTTGCTCACCAGCAGGCCCATTTCATCACTGCAATGCACTGACAAGTTACAGGATCCCATTCCACCACTCCGTCCCAGTAACAGACCACAGGGCCCCGACGAAATTGCTGGAGGCTCCCAGTTTAAATTTCAGGCCGTGGAGATACTACGCTGCTCTAAGGACCCCCAGAGCAGACCAGCCCAGTATTATTTAACGCATTCAGCCTCCCAGTATTTGAAGCCCAGCGCTGGAAGCCGGCGTACCAAAGGCGTGAGCAGTAGCCCACCTCCCGATTTCCAACCCATGCCAAAAGCTCCAGGTGATGCCGCTGCGGGAGAGGACGCGACCCGCCCGTGCCCGGGGCCCCGCCGAAGGGAAGAGGGTGCACGGAGCGGCCCTTAAGCGGGCTCCCGCACAGCGCGGGGAGCGGGCGGAGGGCCGAGAGGTGCTCCCTGGTTGCGGCGCAGGCGGCGGGCGCTGCACCCGCCTCAGCCCCGGGAGCGGGATAGCCGATCCGCTCCGGTGGGCGACCCGCTCTCCCCTCCGCTCCCTTCCCTCTATCACCTACCCCACAGGCCTCCGCCAACGCCGCCGCACAGCGCCGCTCCCCATCCGCCCCGCGGAGCACCGGCACGGCCCCGCCGCCGCCGCCGCCGCCCCTTACGCTGTGCTCGGCGGGGAGGTGGGGCCGACAGGAACCAGGAAGTGAGCGGCGGCGGGGCCCCGTGAGGCCGGGGTGTGTTTATGTGCAGGGGGTGGTGGTGGTGGAGGGGAATACGGGTTTTGTGGAGAGAAAATAAGCTTTTGGGGACGTATGTTTCCCATGGGGAACGGCTCCCGGCGCCGGGCAGGTTGGATACCTGGTTGGCAGGTATCGGCACACAAGCGGTGGCTCACCTTTGCTTGAGGCTCCCGGTGTCGAGCCATCGCTTCCAGGCTGGACATCCTCGGCAGGCTTTAGTTAATGACGCAGTGGGAATTCTGACATTCCAGGTGGTTCCCTCAGGCTGGCTTTACTTCAGCACGTCATCCGTTTACAAGGTTAGAGGAAAACGCATTGCTTTGTCCTTGCAGAAGCAAACACAACTGACATCGGTTTTGCCTGATAGCCTCCACCGGTGTAGCACATTGAAGGGAACGCCAGTGTCCTTGGAAGTGCTCTTCAGGGCAAGGGGATGCCTTCCGCCCTCCCAGACAAAAAACGAGCCAGGCCTTGGTTTTTCGCACCTCTGGAAAACAGCTGTCTGCAGCTGTAATGGAGATGTGCTAGCTGAGCCTCTGGGCTGTGCAAGAATTCCACTTGCATTAGGTAGGCTCCAGGCTGGGGTGGCAGAAGGGGTAATACAAAAGTAATGATAAGTAATAAAACACTTACTCCTTGCAGCTGGAACTGCCAGCTAAGCCATGAGACAGACAGGACTGGGAGGGAGCCCCCTCCCCCTGTGCTCTCAGTTGGAATCACATGGTGCACCTGCATGGATGCTTTATTTTGGAATTCACTCCTGCAAGGCAGCTTTTAATTTCTCATTACAGTAATTTGGTTCATGCTGGGGAACGTGAGGACACAAAAACTGCTCTGTGGGGCAGACAAAGGGTCCAACACAGATGCAGCACTGGCAAATGCTGCTCAAGGACACACAAACCAGGCCCCTTTCCCACAGGGGCACTGCCCTTGCCTGGTGCTCCCCAGGCTTCCCAAGGAGTATGAGCTACCCAAGCTTGGTCAGGTTCTACTGCTGCTCTCCCACTGAGCAGTCGTGAGCAACCCCCAAGTAACCCCAGTGTTCAGAAACTTGACTCCTTTTACAAGCAGGAAAACCACAGAATGCATCCCAGAAAGCATCCGCTCTGATCTGACTGGTAACAGATGGCATAGCTTGCTAACAGGACCAGACCTAACCCAAACTAAAACCTCCAAAACTTCTTGTTCCAGGCTTGTTCTGCTGGGAGAAGAGAAAGCTCTGGGGAGACCTTAGAGCAGCTTTCAGTGCCGAAAGGGGCAGCAGGAAACCTGCAGAGGGGCTTTGGACAAGGGTCTCTAGGGACATGACAAGGGGAACGGCTTTAACCTGCCAGAGGGGAGACTGAGATGAGCTCTTAGGCAGAAGCTCCTCCCTGTTGTGAGGGTGCTGAGGCGCTGGCACAGGGTGCCCAGAGAAGCTGTGGCTGCCCCATCCCTGGCAGTGCTCAAGGCCAGGTTGGACACAGGGCTTGGAGCAAGCTGCTCTAGCGTGAGGTGTCCCTGCCTGTGGTCCTGTATGCTCGATTAAGGAGTCTCAGAGAGCTAGAAATGCCTGGATAAACTCCACCATTGTGCAATCCTCATGAGCCATGGGTCGTTCTCACCCAAGCAAGCATCATCATCAAGTCAGATAGCAACTTTTACAATTATACACAATAGCCATGTAAAACAAAGAAAAGTGTTAAACTTACATTAACCCCTCACTGCTCTGAAACTTCGAATTAAGGCTGTCAAAAGAAACCCAGCCTTAATTATTGTTTTAATGTATGTGGTGTTAATTACACTTCCCATGCTCCTTTCCCAGGGATATGTGGCACAGAACCAACAGCACTCTCCTACCGAAGCACTCGGTCTCTTCTCTGCTCCCGCACCAACCCGCCTCGCTCGGTCCTTCCTCCTAGCTAAAAACCTCGCCGTTTCCCCGTTTCTCTCACGGGATTTATCCCTACGGGAGCCCCTCCTAAGCAGAGAGGTACTTCCGCAGCCCCCTTCAGCAGGTTTTACCTCAGCACAGGACAGGCAGCGAGCGGGCGCTGCCCCTTTGGTTTATCATGAGTGTCAGCTGCGCGGAGGAAGCATTTATTCAGGGACGCGGGCCGCTCCGCGGGCACCGCGTCCGAGAATGATTCGTCTGCTCCCTATGAAAGCCTTACTGAAGGGGATTTAGGGGCTGCAGGCTCCGCTTCTCCCATGAGGAGATCCCTCACTCTGCGGGCGGAGGGGCAACAATGGCGCCTCAGGGCTCTCCCCCTCCCTCAGCGCGGCGGCCGACACCGTAGAGCGGCTGCGCGCGGACGCCGGAAGCGGAAGGGCGTGAGCGCGGTGCGGCGGCGGGAGGAAGCCGGCAGTATGGCGGCTGTGGTGCTGAGCGAGCCGGAGAAGCTCTACATCGTGCATGGCGTACAGGTAGTGGTGGTTGGTGGTGGTGGTGGTGGGAGCTGTGGGAGGCCGCAGCCTGTGCCCCTCCGAGTGGGGTGATCTTCGGATTGTGCCTGTTGGTATTGTTGCCCTGGGAGGTGTGGGGTAAGGCCCATCCCCTCCCCGTGCTTGCTCCCTGTGTGGAAGGGGAAGCAGGGAGGGAGCTCTCCTTGTGTTTGGATGGGGAATCTCTACGGTGATAATTATAGAATGGTTTGGGTTTGAGGGGACCTTAAAGCTTCGGGCAGGGACACCTCACACTAGCCCAGGTTGCTCCAAGTCCCTGTGTCCAACCTGGCCTTGAACACTGCCAGGGATGGGGCAGCCGCAGCTTCTCTGGGCACCCTGTGCCAGCGCCTCAGCACCCTCACAGGGAAGAACTTCTGCCTAAGAGCTCATCTCAGTCTCCCCTCTGGCAGGTTAAAGCCATTTCGCCTTGTCCGGTAAGTACAGGCCTTGTAAAAAGGTGCAGAATTACCCAAGCACACTGAAAACGGGGCATCCAGACGGGGAGCAGGCTGGGAGCAGGACGAGGGGGTTGTTTCGTCGTGTCTTGTTCTCCTCCCCCTCTTGCTGTGCTCTTTCTCAAGTTTTTTGCTGTTGCGTTTTAGCCTGTCACTGAACTGAGGAGCAGTGTGTGGAGTGAGGAGGAAAAGTGAAGGACACGTGGGGAGCAATACTAAAGATAAAAGGACCCTTTACAAAGGACAGAAACTGTATTTTACTGCAAGTAAAACTGTTTTAATGGCAGTAAGCTATATAGTTTCTGAGGGTGTGAAATACCTGTTTTTGAAATGCAAACAAATGAAAGCATTTGGAAGGCTGGTGGGTTATTTTTGTTTGCTGGGTCCTAATTACAGATATAAAAGTACAGAACTTGGTGTCCTGGGAAAAACGCATGCGGTATTAGGTAAAGTATGTTTTAAAGTTGAGACTTTTACAGTTTTGCAGTCTGAAGCTTTCTTTTGGTATTAAAGTGACTTAATGCAGGAGTTCATGTCTGTCTGCAGAGAACCTGTTGCAAGCTCTGGATAAATGAGATTTAAATGGAAACATGCAGTTGGTTCTGTTGTGTTCTTAAGTGAGAAGCTATAGCTATTGCTTTTATATCCTTTTTACTGCTGTGTTTGGCATAGGAAAAAGAAACTTTAAAAGCACAGCTTCTTTCTTTTGTTTCTTTTCATTATTTCTTTTGTTTCTTTTCATTATTTCTTTTGTTTCTTTTCATTATTTCTTTTGTTTCTTTTCATTATTTCTTTTGTTTCTTTTCATTACTGATTCCCTTAAGTACAATGTATTGATTGTCATATGTAGGAAGATCTTCGTGTAGATGGTCGTGGCTGTGAAGACTACAGATGTGCAGAAGTAGAAACAGATGTTGTATCGAACACAAGTGGATCTGCAAGAGTAAAGCTGGTAGGTAAATTCCTTAGAAACTGTGTACTTTGCTGATGAAATTTCTGGTTTATGTGACTAGTTTTAAGATAAGATGAGGCTATTTGTAGGTGGGTTTGTGTATGTGTGTGTAATGGTGTGTGTGTATAACACTAACTGAAACTCTTGGGTTAAGGAAATAATGCCAGGCTATATAATTCATTTGAGCTGGTTTAATCTGCTTGAGCTACATTGACTGTGAAGTAGCTGGACAGCCTTCAGTCTGAACTAGTCTAGCATTTAATCTTGAAAACTGAAATTACTATTGAGCCTTATCCCTGGAAAAAAATTCTGTTCATTTAGAGTGAAGCAAAACTACTTCTGGCATGTGTTGAATGTGAAGAAGATAAATACACTGTGCAGTATTATAAAGGTTATGCAGAAATAGCTGTTTCCAGTACAAGTAAGAGTGTCTTTTTAACCTACAGAAAGCTAATATTTGAAGAATCTTCTTAGGCTTAACATTGTCCTTCTAAAGCCTCTTCTTTTTTCAAAACCTAAACTTATTTTTAGTTCATTCTGATAGAATTATCAGTATAGATAACTAAAAGGTAGAAATATCAGTATAGGCATTTAAATTGAGTAGTTCTGTGACTGTAATTCCAGTTATGCAATGTGTTGTATTGTGTTTTCTTTTTAAACAGGGAAACACTGATATCTTGGTAGGAGTAAAAGCTGAAATGGGGACACCAAAGATAGAGAAGCCAGATGAAGGCTACCTGGAATTCTGTGTTGACTGGTTAGTATACTAAAAGAGAGGAAATAGATCTAATATTTGGAATGAATGAGTAATTTCATTCTTCTGAAGATTATACCTTCACTCCACTAACCTTCTGTAAGGGTCTGAATAATAGAAACAATTTAATGTTTCAACAGTGTTGAATGTTCAGAAACTTTCTGCTGGTTCTGCAGACCCAAAATAAGCAAAGCAGTAGGAGTTAAAGAGTAAAAAAAAAAAAGTACATTGCAGAGCATCACTGCAGCTGGAAAGGAGTAATGGTTCAATTACACATGCATTTAACATGACTTCATGACTACAGTGGCAGTTGTCTTTTAAACAGTGATAGTGTACAGAAAATCTCCTTCAAAAGTGAAGTATCCCAGAAGGAAAGAATTGACTGTTACAGACGGTACTTTAACTGTCCTTAAAGGTTTACTTTGTCTATGAAAGCAGCAGAAAAAGTTTGAAGTGTGTTTTTTACAGATCCATTTGTTTTAAAAGAAGAAAAATTCTCACTGTAAACTTCAGATATAAAATGAATTAGAAAATTTGGATATAGTATTTATTGGTGAATCAGTATTTCATTAACTAAAATTGAATTAGTTTTAAATCATATTTGTGGTTTTTCTGCTACAAGAGGACTGTTATTTAGCCTTGCAGTCTTCACAGTGCACAAATCATAAAGGAAGCCAGAAGAAAACTGAGAGTTCTGTTTTCAGATTGCTCTGAGGTAGCGTAGTGATATCTCAATGTTATTCCAGACTGTCTGCTGTCTGAAACTACAGTATGCATGTCTTGCAGACTTCCTAAAACTGTTTTTCATGAAACAAGGTGCTTTGGAACCTCTCATAAAAGCCTTGGCACTGTCAAGTTAGCTCGTTGCATGTGATGTTTTGGCTTTTTTTTAATTAAAGCCAAAAATGTTGCTACTCTGACGCTAAACCAATGCACCATTAGTAAAGCTAAGGCATGAGAGCTACTAAGTAACTCTACTAAGTTACTTAGTAGAGTTACTAAGCTACTAAGACACTGTATCTCTGGTGATCTCTATGACCTAACTAGCTGTATCTGCCTTGACGTTTGTATCTCTCGTATTATGCAGCCTTACCTGAGACTGCTTCTATATATCATGAGGTCTTAGCTAACTCTGGAAACTGGTAGAGGGAAGGACTCGCCTATGAGTTAGTTGTTTGTGATTACTGTTTAAAAAATATCAGACAGGAAAATGATCTTCTCAAATGTAGTCCTGCTGTTAGAGGAGATCTGAGCTTGACTGCTTTATAACACTCATGTATAAAATATCCTAAGCAGCGCCGGCTTTCTTCTGATGGTTTCTACATGAAGAAAGTCCACTGACAGCAGGGATATCTCCTTACTAAAACAAGTGATCTGTGGGGATGTTGCAGTTCTGTGACACTTTTCTTACATAAATAAATGTTAGAAAAACTAACTCAGTAGATTAATGTTAGATTGTATTTTCTAACTGTTAATCTCTGCTCCGTGAGAAGATGGGATGGGGACGTGCAGCAATATTGTGCAAGATGGATCTTGTCAGTTCTAGAAATAGGTAATCCTTACTTCTTGTGACAACACAGACCAAAAGCCTATATTTTAAAGAAGCTTTCATACTTATGTTGTCAGGGAAAGGTGACTTCTAACCTCCAGAAAGATCCAAAAGACAAAATGTGAAGTGGCAGCAACTTGTTCTCTGTAAAGGGAAATGGATGCTGTCAGTACTCAGATGCTTTTCTAGGCTGCCACTGGGTGGTAGTAACTGAGCACAGTTTGGTACACTGCATTCTGCTGGTGAGATTCCTCTGTGTTCTGCTTGGCTTTTATATTGTTGGAATTAATAACAAAAACTTGGACTGCAGTGTTTGCTGTCTTAAAATTCTTTCCTGAATCTTTCAGTTTCTTGTAGTGCAGAAAATAATCACTTGCTGGATCATGTATATAATTCTCTGCCCCAGAATTCCATTTCTCTTCATTCTGCTCTGAGTCCTTAACCTAGAATCACATTTTGTCTCATTTTGAGACAGACTTTAATGCAAGCCTCTGGAAGAGGTGATTTTTGGGGCACTGATTTGTGATACTAGAAACTAATTGTCATAGGACAAGTAGTCCATGTCCTATGAGATGTGCTTACTGCCCTGGAGAAGACAGTCATCCTGGTCATTGATGTTGAAAGACTCCTGTGCCTGCTTTTGTCATGTTAGAGTTTTGGGGCTCTTCTAATACTGACTTTTTTTGGCTGAGGCAAAGATTTATCATTTTCAAAGTGTGAGAAATGCCAACAACAGAAATAAAAACCAGACCTCAGAATTCCTTGAGAGTATTAGTTATTGTTTGTGGAATTAGGACAAGAAGGAATTTATTTGTCCATGTGTGGCCAACTGTTTCTCCACTCTGAAGGCCAGAAATGCTTTTGTTGAAGCTGGGAGAGTGGGCCTATTTGGGATGCCTGCATGGGAGCCTGGATCAGATAAGGATAGCTGGGAAGTGGTTCTCCAAATCATAAGAGATGACAGTATTGCAAAACAACCACATCAGCATGCTCTTAGGTGATCCTCAGATACCGTTCCATTGTGTTTTGTGGGGAAAATGTCAAATTTCAGAGCAGTTGCTGAAGGTTATCACTTGAATGGTGGCTGCAGAAAAGAAACCTTTCCTCCTCTTCTTCCCTCCTACCATAAGCCCATTATCATGGCAACTTTTCTTTGTAGGAGCAAACTAATGAGTTTTGAAAGAAGTGTCTTTACAGTTTTTTAGGATAATTCATCCACTAAATATGTGTTCTCTACTGAATGGGATTGAGCTCAGCTTTCAGAGGGAAACACTATCTGGTGCTTGGCTTGAGTAAAACTGTTTCAAACTCTATAAGCAGGTGTTCTTTTGGATGGGAAGTGTGGTAACAGTGCTTGACTAGGCAAAGACCTGAATCAGTATATCCATATTGGTAGAGTTAACAGTTTGACTAGACTAAATCCAGACCATTGCTAGCCTGGTTCTTTGTAGTGTCATGAGCTTGAATATCACCATAATCATATCCACACCGTTAGACAGCGTTTGGACCTGTGTTCAGGTCTGTTTCTGGGACTGTCTTGGCAGTTCAGATGTTTCATAACTGTGATGTTTTGTGGCTGGTTTCTGGAAGAGAGGAATATTAGTGAGGTGGGTAACTTAATGCTGAGTCTAAAACAGTGAACCTGCCTTCTTGTTTAAAATGATTATATGTTTCTTTTAGTAGAAAAATAGAAATCTGATATTGGTCGATAGAAGTAAATATGGGTTTAAGTGAAGAATATCCTCTGTGTAAGGAAGCCCTTGTACACCAGGAAAATACCTACAACCTGTTGTTCCATTAACTGTTTTATCTCTGTTATGGTTACTTACCTTGTAGATTATAGTATCTTAATATTTTCAGAAGTAAGCAGCAGGAATAATCAGAAGACTGGAAGATGCAACCTGTGAGATTTCAGTCGTTCAGTAGGGAGACAACTGAAGAGAGGCATGACAATCTTCAAATATGTAAAGGCTGCTGCAGAGAGATACAGGATATGTTCCCCATGTCTTCTGTGGACAGAACCAGAAAAAATGGGGTTAAAACTCAGCAAAGGAGACTGATAGTGCATGTTGGAAACACTCATTTCTTATGTTAACAGTGATTGAAAGTTGCTGCAGAGGTCAAAGGTTGGACTGACTTCCATGAGGAATGAGATGGGTACAGCTGATATCACCTTAGTTGAGAATGATCAACATCATCTCCTCAATGTTTTTTTTTTCATGCCATATTATTTGATTGAACAAGAGCTATTTAAATTGTGTGTGTTCTCATATTTTTCTAACCCTCTCCTACCCAAAAGATAGATTTTTCCTGTTTTTTTAGTAATGACATACCTCGGGCTGATGCTTAATGATACCTTAACAAAGTTGACTTGAATATAGTAAAGAACATTTTTCATGAGGGTAGATTGGATTACCTGACTGCTCTTTTCAGACAGTGACCTGACGGCTTCTGTTTCCCCATCTCTCTGCATCAGGGGGAGTGTGGCCAGCAGGTCAGGGGGGTGATCTTCCTTCTCTACTCAACCTGTTGAGGCCTCATCCAGAGCACTGTGTCCAGTTCTGGCTTCCTCGGTACAAAGAAGGTGAGGAGTTACTGGAGAGGGTCCAGCAGAGGCCATAAGGATGATCAGGGGTCTGGAGCATCTATCTTCTGAGGAGAGATTGCAGGAGCTGGGCCTGGATAGTCTAGAGAAGAGCAGACTGAGAGGGGATCCCAGTCAATGCAGATCAGTATCTCAGAGGTGGATGCCAGGAGGATGGTGCCAGACTTTCCAGTGATACCCAGTAACAGGACAAGAAACAGTGGCCATAAACTGAAACACAAGTTTCACTTCAACATGAGGAAGAACTTTTTTACGCTCAGGGTGGCAGAGCTCTGGAACAGGCTGCCCAGTGGGGTTGTGGAGTCTCTGTCTCTGGAGACATTCCAAACCCTTCTGGATATGTTCCTCTGTAACCTGCCTTGGCAGAGGTTGGACTAGGTGATTTTCAGAGGTCCCTTCCAGCCTTAATGATTGATCCTGTGATTCTCTAATGTCCTGAGCAACAAATGGGGAGTGCTTAACTACTGTAAGAGGAAGATTTTGGCTGTAACAGCATCAGTTTTGAAATTCAGTAGAGACCTGTGATAGAAACATTATTATGCTTGAAGAATCTCTAATTGTTATGCAGTGTGATGCTGAAATGGTTTTGAAAATATTTAAAATTACATTCTGTGTGGGAGCAGAAATTCTGTGCTCTGTCTGGCCGCTACTAAGTTCTTTCTGTGCTCCATAAAGCAAATGTTTTGTCTTTTTCTCTTACTAGCGTGCTAGACTTACCCAGTGTAAATTACTGCAAGAGTCTGTCAGCATTAGGTGGCAGTATTTACCATATAGTTAATATAATAGTACCCTCCTTTTTTATATCACTTGGATTGCAAGGAACTGAAGTGTTAAAAGGATAATGGAATTAAGATGCATTTGCAGTGATATTCCAGTTGAGTCTTATGTTCTTCCTTCTAACTGTCAAAGAAATCATCTCTTTATAATTAAAAAATACAACTTCTGATATAACTTTGCTTAGAAATAATAATTTCTATTCAGAGATAATAATGAGGTATAGCTTGAGGTTTGTATAATTCTTTTCAGCTTATAGGAATCATAATGCTTGTGTAACTGTACTTTAAACAGAATGGTTAAACAGAATAAAGCTACTTCTATGGGTAAGTGCTTGTTTAATACAACCTGAAGACCTGACTGGGCATGCTTCCAGAATTAACTTATACTTAGATATGGTTCTGTCTTATAAAATTGGTGTCTGATATTGTGTGTCACACTTGTAATGCCTATTTGGGTTGCAAGTGTTGTCTGGAAGCACAGATCAGTGGTTGATCGGTGGTAATTTATTTGTTTAAAAAGCATGTATAGTGCTGTCTGTTTATAGTAGCAGCATATAATTTCTGTAAAATCCAGTAGCTTTTCTTGGCATTCTGAGTTTTCATCAGTTCTGCAAAAGAACAAGTTTTGTGAGAAATACTCTGAGGTAAGAATAATAATAGGTAATTATATATGTAATCTTATAGGCTCTGCAGACATAGACTCAGGAAGGTTTGGGTTGGAAAGGACCGTAAGATCATCCAGTTCCAAACCCCTGCCCTAGGCAGGGACACCTCACACTAGAGCAGGTTGCTCCTGTGCCAGCACCCTCCGGGAAGAGCTTCTTCCTTATATCTAAACTGAACTTCCCCTGTTAAAGTTTAAACCCAGTCTTGTTGATACAGTTCATGTGATGGTTTAAGTCATACCTAGGTAATGTGGATCTTCAGTTGTGATTTTTTTTTTTTTTTAAGGGATTATATTCTAAGACGTTGTTTTATGCTCTATGTGTGTGTTCCTGCAGCGTGCCTGTTGGAAGAGCTAAAACTGTGTATCATCATGTGTACAGAAAACGTACATGAGAAACTGCCACTGGGAGGTGCCCAGCCAGGAGAATACAAGGCTTTGCTGTTCTAGATTTTAAACCAATCATAGCTACTCCTATGGAATAACCACCTTTCCTATGTTCTGTAATGAGAAATTGATTTGGGGAGGTCTGACCAGTTTATTTAAAACCAGGATCTGCTGTCTGTGTCATGGGTCCACTGCTTGAGAATGCTTTTGCCCTCGCTATAAATCAGAGGTTGAGTTCAGAATATTTGTTAGCTTGCTATATATGCACTTCTGCACATTTCTGCTCTATTGCACTGTGACTTGGTGATGGAAACTTTGTTTTATAGGCCTGTTGTCTTTTATTGTTAATTGTTCTGTTTTGCTCTTAGCAATGTACAAGGCCCAGCACTGAAGGACTTTCTTGCATGACTGCTCATAAACAAAGTTTGTTATTATGTTGGAATCAGGGAAGTGAAAAGCACTCACTTTTGCCAGATCCCTTCTGGAAAAAATGGTTTTTAGTTGCTGCTCTCCCTAAGCTGCAGTTGCTGAAAATAATGAGCTTGATAGCAGAGAGTACACTTGGTAAAGAAATTACCATTTAAGGTCAGGCAGTCATGGAGCTTGGAAAATAAAGCATGTCCTACTTGTCACATCATCACATCTTTCTCCTCTTAGCCACCCTCTTATTAATTTAACATTCAGCTCTAACAGGCTGTCTTGTTAGCTGTTCTGAACTTCATCCAGGTTTCTCTCACTTCTTTATTTTTGAAAGGGCTGAGGTGATAGAAGATGACAGTGCTTAAGAAATAATCCCTGAGAGGATTCACTAACTTCAATATTGTAACCTAAACTGAAGATAGTGGAATTTAATTAGCATCAGAGTTTGTAGCAAAATGTAGGTATATTATCTGCCTCAAGACATTTTCTTATGGAAAATAGAAACAATTTCTTCACAGATAGGGTGCTTATTATACAAAGAAATCCTTAGATATGTCTAATGTTTTATATTTAAAGAATGTTCTTTGCATATTGGCTGCTTCAGAAGTGAAAGTATGTTTTCTTTCTTTATCTAGTTCTGCAAATGCTACTCCTGAATTTGAAGGCCGAGGAGGAGAAGAGCTTGGCACAGAGATAACAAGTACATTCTACACAGTATTTAGCAGTGAGAACAGTGTAGACTTGAAATCACTTTGTATTAATCCCAGAGAGCACTGCTGGGTTCTCTACGTTGATGTGTTGGTAAGTAAGGGAATGAAAACTAAGATTGAAGGAGGTTTTTCAGAGCACTGATTGACTTGTCATAACTATGTATATTTTCATATAAAAAGTCATATTATGATATAATGCTTCACAGCATGGATGGCCATTTTCTTTTGATTCTAGATATAATCACTACTTCTAGCTTGCTCTTTTATTCTTTTCTTAATGCTGCTGCTCCACTGCAGAGCTAATAAATTACTGAATACTCCAGATCTGTCTCATAAAAATCAGTAATCTTAAACTGACAAGGAAATTGCCACTAAAGAAAGCTGAACTGTTTTCCAAGCTAGATAGAACAGCAAATGTATTGTTCCAATGGGTGTAATTTAGCATGGGTGTATGTTAGCCCTAACATAATCGTCCATCCTCTCCACCTCCTTGCACTACTATCAGTGGTAATTCCATGAAGTGCAATAGAAACTTTTCTGGCAGAAGTTAGCATTTGGTCTAGGCACTTTCTGGTGGAAGTTTCATGCATGTATTGAATGTAGAAGAGAAGCTGAGTATTTGTTCTCATTTAAAAAATGGAACCTGAATGGTATGCGTATAAATCTTGTGCATGCAGCAGCTTAATTTCCAAACTGTGCTGTATCTAAAGTACTCTGTCATGGAAATTTAATAGAAGTCTGCAAGTCAGACTCTCCTGAGCATTATTGCCAAGTCTTATCAGTCCAAATTTGAGTTTCTGTTTCTCAAATTTGTAACTGAAAATATGTCGAGGGATTTTGTTCACAGGAATCCATTAACATTTATGAAATGATTTGCAGAATGCTAAGCTGTATTGGAAAAAGAAATACTGGGTTTTGTTTAACAAAACAGGTATGTTTAGACTAAGATGTAAATGGATGTGAAAACTAGTCCATTAGGTGTTTAAAAGCAGTAGCATTAGCCTAATTATAGTAGATATGGTGCAGACCACCATGTGTGACTTAATGCACATACAGAATGATCAAATATGTACCACTGCTGAGTGCTTTAACAGTTCTAGTCACTGGCTTATTGGGAGCTTGGCATAGTTGAATAGAGAATGAAGTGTTAGTTCTGGGAAATCACACCGAGGCCTTTAGTTACTAGGTGATTACAAGCAGAGGTACAGAATATTAAATGCTGTGCTTATTTAAGGAACACATTGCTTAACATTGCATAAACCCTGCATAAACAAAGACTTCTATAAAGCTGACTGCTGCAGAAGTAGTTCTGTATAGATTTTGTATAACTGGTCAGTATTTCATTCTTCCTGTGCAAATTTGTTGATTATCCACAGCTACAGAGAAAAAAAGTCTTGGTATTTTAATGCTGCTAGTTGCATCATAGAATGGTTTGGGTTGGAAAGGACCTTAAGATCATGCAGTTCCAACCCCCTCCTGTGGGTAGGGACACCTTGCACTAGACCATGTTGCCCAAAGCTCTCTATCCAACTTGGCCATGAATGTCAAGACCTAAGTTATGTGATGAATTTTACATTTAGCTTTGTTGACAGTGTCAGTAAAGAAACTTTGTAGGTTCATAATTAGGACTCTAAACACTGAGTTTTTTTAATGTCATATTCTGCAGGGATTTGTGTGTGAGCCATCGAGGAGCTGCTGGTACCCTTCTACCCTGGGCCTCTCTATTTTCACATTTTTGAGGTTTCTGCACTATTTCATTTTCTAAAGGAATATATATCAGCTGTGATAAAGTATACTTGATGCAAGTAGAGAAGTTGCCATTGCTGAATCATTCCTATAGAATTCTGTTTTTAATAGTACATGGTGAAAGTATGACACGCTGATGTAAGACACAAATCATTCAGCATTTAAGGGAGGCAGATTCTAAATGTAACAATGCTTATTGAATCGTTTGATGGTGTTTTCCCTCAGAATTCCTTGAAATTCTTCACACTGATGTTTGTGTTGCATACTTAAGTTGGAGTTTAAGGAGTTTAAGCCTTAAATCTGTCATAAGCCTGAAAATCCTGGTACTTTGTGGTCAGGTGGGAAGGTACTTGGTTTCAGGCCTCTTATTCCAGAGGGCAAAACCACACAATGTTACTCGAGATATGAAACCTCAGAAAAGAGTGTCTTTTGCACAGCCTTATCAGTTGAAAGCATCTCTCAAATATTGTCTGGCTGTCAGTGTACTTGGGAGTTGCTATGACTGTGTACAGTCAAACTGGAAAGAAAATAACTTCAACTATAGACATCCCAAAGATGCAGCCATAAGGACACATGTATCAGAGGTCAAGAATATATACCTTGACCTTTCAAAATGCATTCAGTCTTAATAATAGAAGGCATTCCACTTCCAAAGAACAGCTCATGAATGTGGACATACACAGTACTGCAAAACTCTTAAGTGTGTTCTCCCCCTCTCTGTCTTTCCTTCAATTTCTTTTCCCTTCTAAGCCAGTGATGTCAGAGATAAGCTTTTAGGCATTTTTGATGATGTGATATATAGAAATATATAAAATATCTTTATATATATATATATGTAGCCTTCTCCATGTAATTTGCCCCAGCAGCTTGCTGTGCTGCACAAGGAAAATCAAAGTGTGCAATCTCTCCATCTCTTCATTCCATACCCAGTCACAGTACATTGTGTGTTGAGGGGTTGCCTTAGGTTTAGTTGGAATTTTAGCAGTTCACTACTGAGCATCCCTTAGAGAATTTCCTCATCTTTTCTATTTCCTCCCAGTTGGGAAAAAGACTATTAGAAATTTGTCCTTTTGGAGGAGAAGCTTCTTAGAATAAGGCAAGATCTAGAATGTTTCCTCTTTTTCCCTATCCCAACTAATGTTTTCATTTGCATATCAGTAAATTAAAAGCAATCTTCTAAAGACTCCTTTGCTTCCTGTAACTCACGGTTGTGCATATTTTCTTAGCTCTTAAAAAGAATACATTAAAGAAGTGTGGGCTCTCAGTACAAGATGCTTCAGCTGAGAAGAGAGTGTTCACTTCTTGGAGGAATGGTCATAACCATGCTTGATACAGGCTGTGTTCTTAGCCTGTAGGTGCCACTGTAATACAAATGAGGCTTTAGAACAGTAGCCTGAACATAAGCCTAGCAACAGTGCAGGCACATCCCATGATTGTGTTTTAATAACAAAGATACTGTGGGGCTTATTGTGTTAGCCAGTAAAATCCAGTAATAACTGAAAGTGGCAAGTTAACCTCTCTGTATCCTGCAGCTGTTTGCAGAGAAATAATCTGATCACCTTTGTATTTAGTTTTCTGTCCCAACTTTTTGTCATTCTTTTTATACAGTTCAGTCTGTATTCATAAAAATAAACTGTCTTTCCAGAATACCTGATTTGTGATTTGCTCCCAGCACGGGAGCTTATCTCATTCTTAGAATCATAGAATCATAGAATAGTTAGGGTTGGAAAGGACCTTAAGATCATCTAGTTCCAACCCCCCTTAAGCAGATTTTGAAGATCAGTCAGTGCAATCAATGTTGCAAAGCTGGTTTTGCTCTCAGACAGCATAGCTTGATGTAATGTAGAAGCACCTGTATCTTCTTGCTGAAGTAGTCTCAAATACTTGGTGGGGATGTCTGCGTGTTTGTAGACTAGTACTGGCAGCTGAGAGTGGAGCTTTGCAGAGATCTAGCACTAGGCTATGGCTACATACATCTTTGAGGTATAAGTCAGCCTAGAGATGGTATTAGTGGTTATGGGAGCCCTGCATTCTTATCTAGTGTGCAGTGCTACTGTTCTCTTTGTTCTTTTCCTGATCTTCATAAGAAGAAGCTGGCCTCCACACTTTGATTCAAATGACAGTGTTACCAACAAGAAGAACGTGACATCAGGATTTCATTAGATCTTTTTCAGCTGCAAGGCAAACCTGCTGATGACTCCATTTCCATAAAGAATAGAGGATAAATCATCATGTGCCATCCTAACTAGACCTTCAGTATCTGGTTTTTTTTATGCCATGTTGTGGGTGACAATTTGCATTGCTTCTTCAGAAACAATTCTACCAATTGGGTTTTCCAGTTGATATTTTAAAACTATTCCCCTTTGAAATAAAGGACAGAAAGTGGATTGGCTTGATTTAACATTAAAGAATGAATGTGGTTGGTTGATAACAAGTATTCTGGTCATAGTCTAGTTCAGAGCCTTAGCACAAGAAGAGTAAGAACAGCAGTGGTTTCATTTCAGCTTCTATTATTAAATTTTATCATGAATTTTATTATGAAGTGCATTAACTCTTCTATTTTGCATGTGTAATACAGTTAGCTGAAATCTCAGTTTCCTATCTGTTTCTTTTCATAGACAGGCTTTAAAGACAACTTTGTGTATTCAAAATCTGCTCTGGTTCTTAATTTTGTGCCTTTTTCAAGTAGGCTGAAGTAAAATAAAGACTTGGTTTAAAGGCACTAGCCTGATTTTCTTTTAAAGAGACTCTTTTTTTCTTCCCCAGTTATTGGTATGTGGTGGGAACCTCTTTGATGCAATCTCTATCGCAGTGAAGGCAGCTCTCTTTAACACAAGGTAAAGCACAGATCTCCTTTCATGTGAATGGAAGTGTCATGGGAAGGGGAAGAGCTAATCACTTACTCTGTGAGCTAATAATTTTTGATGCTTAAGTCTTTAAATAAGAAATACAGAAGGCAACTTTTATTCAGATACAAGGCAGTCCATTTGCATGCAAGTAACAGGACCTAATGTTATTAGAAACTGAATCAAGTGTTATATTGCATTATATGCACAATTAGGCTCACAGTATAACTGTATATATCTGTAGCCAGATCCACCAAAAATTGTCTTTGACCATATGGTTTAGTTGCAAGTCATTGGAGGCCTTTGTGTGGATGCCTTGTAGGTTTAAAACAAGAAGGATTTACTGATGTGTGATGCTCCTGAGTAAGGAGCCCTCTGTCAGTGTGACTACTCATTTGTAACTAAAAAAAAAGGTGTGATTTGTAGCTGTAAAAAGTGTGATTTCTCACTTCTGATGTTCTTTCTCATTAACTGTTAGTCTAGAGTTCTTTTAAAACTAAGAGGAAAAAAAGGTAGTGAGCGATTGTGAGGAGAGGGAAATGATTTGTCTTTAAAAGAACTTTACCCCAGGCATTTTAATATGGAGAATGAAAGAAAATCTGGTAGAATGAATGATGCAAGTGTTCTGTGTGTGTGTTAATGAAAACATTCAATAACATTTTTAATATCTATATTGAGAACATTCAATAATATAATATTCAATAATATGTATTGGTTTGGAAGTGTTTTCAAATGGTTCTTCAGCTGTGAAGTAGAGATTTTGTGAAGTCACTGGTATAGTTTTGGCTTATTAATCAGGGACTCAGCACACGGTACTAGAGCTGGAAAAATACATGCAAGAAGAGGGAAAGACACCTTTGAAGGCAGGCAGTATATCAGGTTAGAAACACTTTAAAAGGGAATAAGGGAGAATCCATCCGAGACTACAGCTTGTGTACATTGGTGAGAAATTTCCCATGTTAATCAAGTTCTCAACAGTAACTTTTCACTGTCAACAACATGGTTGACAATGCACTGAAAGGTAGAAATGCCTGTGTCTGTGTGAGCTGCCCGGATGCAAAAGTTATACAGTAAAAATAATTGCTCCCATGTGAGTTGTTTTGCAGATCCAAGGCATGTGCTTTATTTACAAGATAAATAGGTCTTTTTTTCCTTATGTCAGCCAGAATCCTAGTTCTGAATAAAGAGAGGGTATCATATGAAAGTAATTAAATAAATGAAGAAAACCTGTTGCCTTGGGAACATGGGCAACATGTTCCCAGAAATTATTTTCATGATTCTCCTTTATTTTCATTCTTCTGACAACTGTAGCCTTCATATAATCTGATCTGTGGGCAAGCATCCAGTGTCTTTTGGAAGGTATCAAATCAGAATGTGGTACAATGTGACGCAGTGCAGAGCCTGTTGATTTTTCACCTGTATAAATCCTGTCTGTTGGTGTGAGCAGGGAATGCTAGTGCATCTCATCTCATATGACCTCAGAAAGTCAAGGGGTGAAATTCGAAGTGAAAACCTGTTGTGCTCGTTCATTGTCTTGCTCCCTTTCCCTTGGTGCCTACTAAGTTTTGTTTGGATTGACACAAGGTTGCTTAAAGTAGCTGCCCACTCTCCATGAAATATTACTGTCCAAGCAAGACAAGATGTCAGATTGAAGATCACTTCAGATTAAGTGTTCTGGATTTCACATGTGTTTGCTTCTGAGACTTACTTGCCTTTCATAATCTGTCTACAATGGATATGACTGTTTTGGGGGAAACATTTACTCCTCGAAGTTTTGTATTGTTCGTTGTGTTCTAAAAAATACATTTCAGGATCACATGCAAAAGTTAGCAGATACTAAGTTTTCTTCTTTTCTGTGTCTCCAAGGTGCTTGAGGCTAGATTTATCTGCCAGATATCGCAAAATGTGCAAGTAGCTAAGTTAGGATTTAGCATTAATCTTGATCCTGTGGAATGTGCTTACTTGCAACCAAGGCAACAGAAAGCAAGAAAGTTACAAAAGCTAGAGTTTCTAACACAATAGCTTCTCAGATGTAATGTTTTTTTGCCAGGCAGCATGGTAGAAGCAGAACTGATGCCTACTTCCAAAAGGAGAACTGGTTTTATGGTTGTGAAACCTGGGTCTGCAGTGTTCGTTATGTGACATAAGTCCTGCTGTACAGATTTCTGCTCTAATTAGTTGCAGGAATCAAAATAGAAAACTAAACAGAATCAGCATCAACCAGGTTGGAAAAGACCTTCAAGATCATCAAGTCCAACCGTTCCCCAGTGCTGACAAGGCCACCACTAACCCATGGCACTGAGGCCTCGTCTCCACGCTGTGTGAACACTTGCAGGGACGGTGACTGCAGCCCTGCCCTGGGCAGCCTGTTCCAATGCCTGAGCACCCTCTGGGGAAGGAATTATTCCTCAGCTCCATCTAAACCTGCCCTGGTGCAGCTTGAGGCCGTTTCCTCTTGTCCTGTCCCTTGTTCCTTGGGAGCAGAGACCGACCCCACCTCACTACAACCTCCTGTCAGGCAGTTGTAGGCAGCGATCAGGTCCCCCCTGAGCCTTCTCTTCTCCAGACTGAACCCCCCAGGTCCCTCAGCCGTTCCCCATCACATTTGTGCTCTAGGCCCTGCACCAGCTCCGTTGCCATCGTTTGCCAAGTAAATGTGTACAGCTGGTTCTTAAGGGAGATCTTCAGAAGCTGGGAGAGAAAATCTGTCTTCTGAAAGTGCTTTGTGCTACACTCTCTGCCTAGTTTTTATGTGTATATATACCCCCCTTTTTATGTAACTGTGATACTTGTATTGGATCATTTGTCTTTTTGCTTCTGTAGTAGTTCAAATTTGTAGTTCTTTCATCTGTTCTTGGCCAAACAGCTCCTTGCAGGCTTTTTTTCAGGTATTAATTCTGGCAACTTTTTCTTGCACACCAAACATTGTTCTGGTTTCACAGCTGGTTTAGGATGGAGTTAAAAATTGCTTGATCTCTGATGTTTTCCTGAAATATTCCTTCTTTTTTTAAATGCTGCTCTGGCATATCTACTTCTTGTCTAGGCTGTTGTCCAATGTTGTCCATTGTTCTGGGCAGCTTGAGGGCTAGTCAACTTGTGACTTTATTTCATCAGGTTTTAATGGGGTATTTTAAACTTGAAAATAGGCTTTGATGCATTTCCAATGAGCTTCAAAGCATTCTGAGTTTCATTTCAGGAAAAAGAACACATTAGAGTTGTTCTGCTTACTGAAAGTTATAGTTTTAGCTTGGCTCAGGCTTGTAGGCAATTTGTTCTCACTGAGGCAGGCTTAGCTGTTATGAAGTACTTGCCTCTAGGACTTTGAGCAACAAATAGCTAAAATACTCTTCCAGGGAACAGCAAAAAACCACTTTGTGCTGGGGGGGGGGAATGTTCACTAAATCAGTCCCTGCCTCCTCCTCCTTTAAAAGAGATTTGATACAGAATGCGTAAACCAATGTAACCTCCAGAGTGTAGTTATAAAACACAGCTCAACTGTAAAAGTACTAATATGAAACCAGACTGTGGTTACATTCCACATGGTTACTGAAGTTAGCTTCCTGGGGATGGCTTGAAATACATTCTGTTTGCAAGTGCAAATGTGTAAGAGTGAGAGTATTGTGGCGTGGAGGTTTTACTGGCTGGTACAGCCAAGTCTCTCAGTCAGTACTTCGTCCTAGTGAGCACCTGGATAAATGAAAGATATGAGATGCTGACATTCTTGGCTACTTGAGATACCATCTTGTAGTAAATTGGTTTAAATTACTTTACTCATTATGCTAGAAAGCTGCATTAAATCATCCTATAAAACTCCCGTTAAATGGCTATCACCAATACAATATATGTACCACTGGTAAGGAGTCTTGACAAGCTCGTTTGCACAAGAGCTCATCACTCACAGGTGAAAGGAAAAGCATCTCTTGGATTTCTGCCTGGATTTTTAGCCCTGGTTATTGCCTATATCTGTCCTTAGAACAGTAGAGTCTATGCCTCTTAAAGAATGAGAATATCTTGCCAGTCTTCCCATCTCATTAAAGAAGTAGGATATTACTAATGTTATCTTTTCCCTTTAGCCCAAGTCTCCTTAGGTAGTGTCTTTCTTTCCTGAACAGCTTCACTAGTTGCATTTGCTATTGACGTCACAGCTTTGGCAAGCAGGGCAATTGCTGTAATTCTGACAACTTTACTGTTGTCTGCAAGGCTGGGATCCACAGTATGAAAGGATTCAATCTTGGTAATTTCTCTCTTGTACATCCAGGTAGATGGATAAAGAATTGTTCAGAATTGATCTGTGCATCATATATTTCCTCATATATTAGCATAAAACCCACTTCATGTTCCAAAGGTTTGACTGATGTAAATCTGATGCTCTTATCCTAGAGATCTTCCCCCTTCCAATGTTTTCTTCCTAGTCTCTGAGTTTGAGTTGTTAATACTTTGATAACTTTCTGGATTTTTTTCCTAAACATTTAGCCTCATTTAGAGGAAAGGGCACTTCCTGGAGTTGAGATGTGTGACAGCCACATTCCTTACCTGTTCTGGCAATGATTGTGCACGGTTTGTTTCCACAGAATACCCAAAGTGCGTGTTCTGGAGGATGAAGAGGGCTCTAAAGAGATTGAGCTGTCTGATGACCCTTACGATTGCATTCGACTTAATGTGGAGAATGTGCCCTTAATTGTCACATTAAGCAAAGTAAGCCTAACAAATTCCTGACCTACAGGTTCTGTTAACTTCACCTGCTGTTTGTTTTTCTCCCTGGAGATAAAACTTGTATTACAGATGCAGTCAGTGTGCACTGTGTATGTATTTGTTCATCTCGAGCTTCCTAATTAAGAAGAACTGAATAAGGTTTTATTTTTCCCCATCTCTGACTTGCAGTCAGAGATTTGCAGTTTTTACTTGATGCATCTTCTTGCATGCAGAAGAATTGTTTATTATTTTTCATCTAATTCTTGCTCAACACCCAGAGCAGCAGATCCTCCAGTATGGTAAAACAAATAGTCATTGTTGTGAGGGGCAGAGGTTGTGTGATCTGCCTGGAGTTACACGACGAGTGTTTGTTTCTGGGGAGAGAACTCCATTTTCATGGGTGCAATACTATCATAGAATCATAGAATAGTTAGGGTTGGAAAGGACCTTAAGATCAAGTTCCAACCCCCCTGCCATGGGGAGGGACACCTCACACTAAACCATATCACCCAAGACCTCGTCCAACCTGGTTTTGTTTTCCTTCTCCATACATAGCACACAGCTAATACAGTTGGTTTGCTGGATGCTGCATTTTCCATTGCAAAGTGAGCCATCTGCTTAGTTACTTGAAAGTTTGTCTGACATTTCTTTTAAGGAAGCTGTCTACATAGTAGAAAAGCCATCACTGAAGTGAGGGCTCACCTGGGTGTTAGGATGTACAGTTTTCATTTAAAGGGGAGGAAAGTCTGTGCTTGGAGTTGGGGGAGAAAAGGAATAGATGAAAGGATGGTCAGATTAAAAACCAGTATGAAATAGTACGTGCTTATCTCACCTCTCTTACGTATGTACACACAGTTTGAGGTCAGAGGCTGTTTAAATACTCTGCTGTCAAGTCAGTCTCTGACAGTTACTAGTGGCCACATGATACTAGGGTGGGAGGCTACAGATAACAGAGCTACCACTCACAGTTTAACATCTTAATAAAGAGCTTAGACAATTGCAAACTAATCATCTGTGTCATTTTGTCACTAACAGATTGGCTATAGGCATGTGGTGGATGCTACCCTTGAGGAAGAAGCCTGTTCTTTGGCTAGCCTGCTTGTTTCTGTGACCAGTAAAGGTGCCCTGACTTCTATAAAGAAAATGGGGAGGGGCAGCCTGGATCCTGAGAGTATCTTTGAAATGATGGAGGTAAGTTTTGAGCAGTTACAGTCTTGGAAGAACTGGAACTTGTGTATATGAAAAGCTGCAGCAAGGCCTTAAAGAGCAGAGATCTTTATGCTTTGATTAAGTGCACAAGGGCCATGCTGAAGGTCACAGACCCTGTGAAACAGAATCTACTATGAATGGATGTTAGCCAGAACTTTTAGATACCTGACATGTATGGTGCTCACATTTGTTTCAGATAAGTACTTCACAGCTGTAAGACTGTAAAGCTTAAGTTGTTAAACTTTGAGAGTATTTTTAAAGAGCATGTTCCCTCTCTCATTGTTTCCCTTAAGACGGAAAGAGCAAAACTTCTAACGTGGTGAAGGCTCTATAGAAGTAGTCTCTATAGAGTAGAGTGGTACTTTGAATTGTCAGTGCATGGTGTTCTCTCCTAGCACAACTCATTTTTTTTTTGTGATAAACTTACTGTTCTCATTTTACTGTTGTTTTTCTTTGCTCCTTTACTGGGTTTCTAATCCGCCCCCACTCCATGAAAGTATTAGTACCTGGATATTGTTCACATCCACATAAGAATTCCATTTTAAACCTTTTTTCTGGCTCTTTTTGAATCTGTTATCCAGTATAAATTCTCGTATTTGGCCTTGAACATGAGACAGAAGTGGGGTTTGAACTTGGAGTAAGAATGAAAACTAAGCACTTCAAACTGGCTCTGTTTCCTAAAATCCAGAACTAGTTTCAGCATGGCTGCATTGAGGAATGCAGAAATTGGAGCCAAGTTTGAAAACAATTGATCTCAAGTGGAAATTACATGCTGAGTATATGTGGCACTTCAACTGTTTCATGAGATCAAAGTGCTAATCTTGGTAGTACAGTGGGCTTTTTATTTGCATTCAGAGATGTCACCCCTTTAGCTTGGTAGAGTCGTTATCACTAATCTGACATCCTAAAGAAACCAAACTGCCCATGGACATCTGATTTCACTTCCTTAATGGATTTCAAATCCAATTCTAACTCAGTGTCATGAAAGACTTGAGGTTGAGATAGCTGCTTTGGTCAGAGCCAACTGATTACTAATTTTGCTCTGTACTGAGCCCTAAATAGGAAATAAACTTGTGCAGTTCCCTTGTGTAGCCTGCCCCCAAAGGCTGTGCTTGGGATTCTGTGATGCTCATCTAAACACTGATCAGTGTTTAGATCAGTGCACAGAAGGTAACATGGGAAATCTTGAAACTGCCCTACTCTGCTGGAGAGCTTTAGTTAACTTGTCCCTACCTCTGGTGCAAGGAGTTAGAACCTTAAGCTGAGTTGTGATGTCTGTCACTTACTTTGGAAGAAGTCTTCCCTCCTGAGTAGTGAGCAGCTTGAAGGAGTAAGGGATAAAACAAGATGCTTTCTGGGAGGTCAAACATTATCTGTTTGGCCCTGCCTCAAACTCAGCATCCTGGTTAGGATACCAAGAAAAACAAAAAGGCCTGGGAACGTCCAGTGGAGGAGCTGTGTAACCCTTGCTTGACACCTCCATTCCGTAAGGATTTGGCTGCACGTCAGAGGGTGTTCAGCCCTCCCTGTCTGGTGGTGAACAGATGTTCTAGGACGAATCTCTTAGGAAGGCAGCTTCATGGGAAAGTTTGGGAAGCTGGCAGCATTACTAAGTTCATGATCCAAGCCATAAGGGAGGCAAGCAGGAATAAGATGGCAACAGCATTGTGTCAGTACCAAAGCTCTGCACAGTCCCCATTCACTTTGACCTGGGGTGAGTGATGTTGTCCTGCCGTTGAGGAGAAGAATGCACAAAGTGTATCACCTCTCAGGACTCCAAACTGCTGTCGTGATCATTGTCCCAGTGCAGAGCTGTAGCAGTGCTTCCATGTTCTCCCCTTTATTTAGCATGACTCAAGAGTGTCTAGGATAGGCAGCTACCCAGCTGCATCAAAGCTCTTGTCATATTTCCTTTGGCTGCAATCTGTCCAAAGTCTGGGCTATGTTCTGGGCCGTATTCTGTCACCTAGTTCTTCGATGAGAGATGTACCTTACTTTAAGGTCTATGCGCTCATGGTGTTGGCAGTTGTCATCAAGAGGTGACACAGAGCTTTGTGGTCATTTGTATGACAGGCACAGGCTTTGTTGCATACATCAGGAGCTAATAAACACAGATTTAGTTTAATCTGTGGCTCTTTAGGGAGAGCAGGGCTCTCTTCATCTCTGTATGGAGTCACTATTTCAGGACATTTGGGGAAACCCTTGGAAAGGGCTAATAGCACTGCCATAAGATCTTTATTTCTGCATTGCCAAATGGTTCCTTACCGTGTAGCTTCCACAGTACGTGTATGTGGGAAGAGGCTGGTATTGGAGCTAATCCTCACCACCCTCACAGGGAAGAGCTTCTTCCTTATATCTAACCTGAACTTCCCCTGTTTCAGTTTAAACCCATCACCCCTTGTCCTGTCACTACAGTCCCTGATGAAGAGTCCCTCTCCAGCACCCCTGTAGCCCCCTTCAGACACTGGAAGCTGCTCTGAGGTTCCCACGCAGCTTCTCCAGGCTGAACAGTCCCAATGTTCTCAGCCTATCTTCATACCAGAGGTGCTCCAGCCCCTTATCATCCTCGTGGCCTCCTCTGGACTTGCTCCAAAAGCTCCCTGTCCTTCTTATGCTGAGGACACCAGAGCTGCACACAGTGCTGCAAGTGGGGTCTCACAAGAGCAAAGCAGAGGGGCAGGATCACCTCCCTCGACCTGCTGCTCACGCTGCTTTTGATGCAGCCTAGCAGATGGGGGGTTTCTGGGCTCAGGTGCACACTGAAGTGGCTCATGTTCAGTTTCTCATTGATCAGCACCCCCAAGTCCTCCACATGGGCTGCCTAGTTGGAATGTGTGCTTGTGCTTGATGCGAATTTAATTTGTATTCCTGGGTGATCAGGCACTGCACAGATCCAATATTAATGATCAGGGAACACTTTTCTGATCAGTGTGAGCACTGCTTTTATGTGTAGATTTTTCTGAATCTGAATCAATTTAAAATGAAGCTTCCACTGCCATTATTTTTCTTAATTAAAAGCATATTTTTATTACACCAGCTGGTGCGTATGAATCATTAAAGGGAAACTATTTGTCAAAAGGAAGTGTTCTGTGAGAGTTGTCTTCCTGTTAATAAGCGTATGTCTCAGATTCGGTTTGCTGCTTTTGCATTGCAGACGGGGAAGAAAGTAGGCAAGGCGTTGCACGTGGCCCTTCAGAAGATTCTGGATGAAGAAGAGAGTTTGGGGACGTCGCGGCAGAAAGTTGGATTTCTAGGATGAGTTTTTATTAAATGTTCAAAACTGGTTTTAAGTGATGGTCCGATATTGTCAATTTGTATGTAGAAAAAGGCTATTTTTTGCAATACCTTTATCCTTCTGGCTAAGAGGCTTTTAAAACGTTCCCAAGAAAAGAAGGCTACAGTTCAATGTGAATAAGCGAATCTGAGATGCTTTTTGTGTGGGTAACTATCTGCACACAGAAAATGCACTACCAGCAATTGATGCAGTTGCCTGGGAAGTGCTTGAGTCTGTTTTCAAGAGTGACTGGTGGAGGTTCCACTTAATTCTGTTTCAATGTGTTCTACTTCTGCAGACCAGCTCCTGTGTTCTACAGTGTGTATGGGGTTGTACTTGGTACAGCACAAGCCAGTTTTTGGGCCTTTTGACTTTGTTTTTTTGTTCACCAGCCAGCTGAGAACAGCATTTGGTGGAATTCTTTCATCAAGTTATCTTACTTTTCTTTGAATAAAACATGGTTAGATTTTACTATAAATACAACATGGTTCCAAGTTTCCAATTTGTATTTTAAACCAAGATTTCTTTACTCACTAGAGCTCTGCTTATCCCTTTTGCCAACAGGTAAAACAGTAACCTAGCCAAAACCTCTCATGGTGGCTAAGGAGAAGGGAAAAATAAGTGAATTTGTAAGAGTTTGATAATTCAGCTGGAAAAGCATAGTAGCTGTCGGTAATAATCCTTTCCAGGGAAAGACAGAAGATGGCAAATAAGGTAGGCAATCAAATTGTATCTCCAGGTCTTCAAAGCAGTTCATTCTCTCCTTACATCAATTGGCTGGCCCAGCAAAGAGCAAGAGTGTTTATTTGGCAGGATAGAAAGAGACAACAGATGGAAGAAGTCAAAGGATAAAGTTGATTTTTCAAGAAGTTGGTATTTTGGCTGTGTTAGAAGGACTGTTTTGAACAAACTTTACGGTAAAATTTACTACCATAAGCCAGGAATCATTTAGATCTTACTCAGGCAGTGTTTTCTGGTTTAATTTCCTAATGCCAGAATAAGAGCATTCCCTTGACCAGAACATTTCTAGTTAGAAGAAAGGGAAGGCTTTTGTGAGGAAGAGCTGTAGATAGAGGACAAAACTCAAACAAATAGTCATGATCACATTAAAATGTATAGTGTACTTAAGGTCCCCAAGTGGCTTCAGCCCTTTGCCTGGAGCTCTCATAACCATTCAAGATACAGTACTACTGTGTATTTCAGGTATGTGTAGCTACTACTACAAGGAGCAGGCAGGTTCAAATAAACAAATGCATTAAAAAGGTCCCACAAAATTTGCCCAAGATGTCTATTTTGAAGAGGGGGGATTTTTTCAGTACCTTTAGTAAGGTAGGTTGTGGTAGTGCCATGGCACTTTCTTCACACCAAGAAGTGCCAATCATTATACATAGCTTTATATACATATCTTTAATCACTCCAGTAGAGTTAGTCTATGTGAGGCAAAGACTAACTTGCCATCAGCTTGCAGCAGCTGTGGTCCACATTCCTCGCTGCGATCCAAAATCCTTGCTGCACAGAGCTAGGTGAAAAAATGTAGAAAGAAGACTGAAGGGAGAATAAACATTTACACTGTCTTGGACTTAACCACAGGCAGTATTTGTTTGGTCATGTGTTGTTTAACATTTCAGAAAATGCTTAATCCAAATGAGGATTGCAAGTCAGACCACAGCTGAATAGTTGTTGCTTGTTTTATTACAGATTAGTGGTTGGATACGAAAGGGCTGCCCAGAATTACTTCCAGGGTGAATTTTATAACATGGTAATAATAGTGTATGTCTATGTAGCCTTCCAGCTGAGGGATCTCCAAGTGTTTGCATGTTACATAATTTAAGATGCTGCTTGTCACCTCTCCAGAGCCTTTTAATTTTCAGTTGGTTGCTACAAGAGCTGGCAATGGGAGAGAAACTTGTGTTGCAAGCATGTTAACTGACTCCTTTGTGGAGGTGAATGTATGCTCATTCCCTCTCCACCTCATACTAAGGATAGAAAATATTTAGCCTATTTGAGATCTAGGCTATGCGCTCAAGATACCTAAAAAGCAAACTCTTGGTACTTGAGCATCTATGTGTACAAAATTGGCTAACTTGGTCATAAAATGCTTGGCTCCAAGGACTTTGAGAGCGTCCCTGTGAGTTAATATGGTGCAAGTATCTGCAGTGCCTCTTCTAACCATGTATGTCCTCCCCTCAGGTCTTCTGTAGCTATGTAACTAGGCATGAATGAATTGGGGATCTTCAAGGGGCCCTGTTCCTTCCACACTTGCTACCTCCCATCTGTTGGCTTGGCAAAGCAGTGGGGTTGAGTGCGACCCCAGTTCAGACTGGGGCTGCTTCTACCCCTAAATATAAATAACGAGCCTTTCCTGAAGTATTATACAGCTGCTAGTTGATCTCAGCTGCCCCTGGAGGTTTGTTGCTACCAGCTCACATCCCAGATGGATAAACAAAGCTCTGAGCAGGGTAAAAGGGCCTGCAGCTCTCCCAGCTGATAGAGCATCTGCTAAGGAATCTTTGAGATCTGTGGTTCTCAGGCTTGCTAAGGGCTATGCTGCCCATTTCTATTTTCTTAACTCTCTTTAACCCCTCCCTTCCATTCCAAGCAAAAAATAGCAGTTAGATTTTTAACAGAGGCTTCAACTGAGCCTGCTCCTGTTCCTATCTGGGCTGGTGGAAAGTTCCATGTGTTGCTGTGCAGATATTGCCACGTTTTCATTGACTCGAGTCCAGTGCAACTAAGAGGAAACATCTGCGGAGCAGGATAGCTCTCTGTTTGTCCCAGAAATTAATTGCTTCTGCTGGGAGTGTCAAGAGGCTGAGGGCTGTGTACTAGAGATGTGAAATCTAGCAACTCCTGCTAGCCTTCTGCTTGTGTTGCCTGAAAAGCACCCAGCTGCAATTTACCTGTTTGGGTTTTTTGTCTTCCCCTGTGTATCCCAGCTGAAAGGTCTGTTTGACAGGGGCACGTCCCTTGGAGCAGGGCTGGATCTGGCTGGTTTGTACTCATGTTCCTCCAGATCTGTGTTTACACTCAGGGTGATGTAAAGCAGGTTTACCAAGTGCAAGGATCCCATCAGCCAGTGTTTTGCACCTACAGTAGTGGTTCAACCTTGCAGCTGTGTGGTTTGGGGAAGAGAAGGGAGCTTGTTCTGCCCTGGGGGTGGGAGTGGAGGCAATGGGGAGGAGGTACTATGCCACCTGCAGTCAGGCTTTATGAAAACCTGCTTCAGCACAGCCTGTTGTAAAGACAAGCTTGCTCATAGAATCATAGAATGGTTTGGGTTGGAAAGGGCCTTAAAGCTCATCCATCCAGTTCCAGGCGCCTGCTAGAGGCAGGGACACCTCACATCAGACCAGGTTGCTCCAAGCCTGGTCCAACCTGGCCTTGAACACTGCCAGAGATGGGGCAGCCACAGCTTCTGTGGGTACCCTGTGCCAGCACCTCAGCACCCTCACAGGGAAGAGCTTCTGCCTTAGATCTAACCTGAACTTCCCGTTTAATTTTAAACCCATTGGGAGTGTGCAAGTCTTCAAGGGACTTAGCACCTTGATTCAACATAGGCAATACAGAGTTTCTGCCTTTTCTCTCTAAACAGGAATTAACTGGGACTTAACCACCTTCTGTTATGATTGCCTCCAGCTTTTCTTTTAAACTCCAGTAGGTGCCACTTCCCTCCTCAGCAGCAGGATATTCTTCAGCCCTGCTGTAGCACTGATTTACTTTGCCTGCAGTAAGCAGCCACTGACACCCAGAGGGAGGAAGAAGTGGCTGTGACTGGTGAGAACAGAGTGCTCCAGCCCTCACCCCAGAGGCTCCACGTGCTTGAGCAAAGTGCAAGAGCAGGTCTGCAACTGGGACTAAAGCTCTTCAGCCTCTGTGCTGTTTCCCCCTGCTCTCTAACCCCTTGTCTCCTAGGACACTGCTGCCTGTTTGCGCTCCCTGCAGCTATTCCTTCCAAGGACAAATGCGGATGCAGCTGCCAGGGGCTGGTTTCAGGCTGGGGCTTTAAATGCCTGGTCCCTCATTCCTTTACCTTTGGTGGAGTCCCTAACTCCCAGTGATAGTGCTTGGCCATAGCAGGGCACTTTGGTACCCATCTCCCCACAGAGAGACTGTGGTGCCTCTGTTACCATACAGCCAGAAATGCAGCTGATCCAAGTTAAAACTAAGACGTTTTTAGGATCTCTGACATACTGCTGTTAATGACTCCTTGGTGATGGCTTCAACCTCAGTTTCATCAACTGGAACACTTTAATAAGGCTGTGGCTATCTTCCAGGCTCTTTGAACATCTCTTGCTCTCCTGTTCTCAAGATGAGGATAAGAACAGCAGCACAGGCACACCTGAATTTTCACGTCACACTGTTTGTAGGTGAGATTTGATCTCCCCGATTCAGACTTGAGAAAATCATAGTTCCTGTGGCCCTAAGCTGATACCTTCAGAGAGGAAGAAAGGAAATGAAGCCTCAGCTGTTTGCTGATGTACAGAGATGGTGTGCAGCGAGACAGCATGGAGGAGACTGCAGCCAAGCCAGTTTGTGCTTGGGTGTTGGAGCCACCAGCCTGCAGGACCTCCCTTCCAGAGGAGCTCTCTCACTACATGTTCTCGCTGTGTTTTGGTAAGTTTTGATATTTCCATAGAAACCTACGGGTTGAAAAGTCATGATTTAAGCCCTACCTCTCTTTTTCCCCTTAGAGAGAGACCAACTTTAATCTGATGAGGCTTTTCAAGGCATGGATTGCTTTCTTTCTGCTGTCTGATCATGCAAAGGTTTCTCTAAATTACAAAAATGAAAGAATTCATGACGCTGACATTGAAATTCTTTCATAATCCTCAATTCAGCATCCATAGCCCTATGAAAGCAAACCAGTCACTCAAAGGTGAGAACAACACGCAACAAGATTGTAAACTGGCAAAACCACCATCTGCTTGCCTAAAATACTGACTTTAATTTCAACCATGACTTCCCTTGAGCTGATGCCAAGATGGATTTTGTGCAGCCTGCTCAGCAAACCTGCACAATTAGGATTGTCTCCAGAGTTATGGTGTTAGATTTAGATGCTTGCCTTCTGTTTTCCTTTGGCTGGTTGGGCTTTGGAACATGGATGACGGGCAGAAAAGCAAGACAGTGAAGACAGATGGATATACCCCTAACCCACATGCATGCTGTGAACAGAAGGGAGGGGTGAGTCCTTCAGTGCAGCTCCTTTTGGAAAAGAGAAGATTTTGAGCAGCTGATAGCATTTGAACTCAAGTTCTCTACTTTTGGGTCAGGTTTAAGGCCTGAGGGTCTCTGATAGCACAGATCCTTCTGTGCTGGGACCCTGGGTGAATATGGGGTAGGGATGTGAGGCATGCTTGTAGTGGGATGTGATTGGAATGCTCCTTCCTTAGGCTCAGAGCCAGTTTCCTGATGTTGGTGCTGAGGATAACGTTTTGGCAAAGTGCTGACTCTTTGGTTTTCCCTATCATTGTGCTTAGGAAAACCACCCTTTCCTGAGCTATTATTGCATTTCTTCTCCATTGGCCTCAAAAACAATGATCCACAGATTTGCCTTTTTCCATTTTAACCTGTCGTGTTGTTGTTTATGCTGGTGGAAAGCAGGAACGATGCCAGCACGAGTTTGGGCAGCAGCTAATTAATATCAGAGGTTTTCTTCTGCTCACCCCACTTCCTCACAGCATGTATTTTATTGTCCACTCCCTTTCTCTCCTATTCTTCTTTGAAGTTACTGTGATGTGGCTGAGAGACAGATCCTCCTCCTGCAGAGCAGATTTGGTCAAGGCAGCAGAGGAATGAAACCCAGAATGCTGCCCCAGCCATGGGTCAAACCACCAAGCTGCACAGTCCCACATGGAAAGAGGTTTAGATGGAGATGAGGAAGGATTCCTTCCCCAGAGGGTGCTCAGGCATTGAAACAGGCTGCCCAGGGCAGGGCTGCAATCACCATCCCTGCAAGTGTTCACACAGCGTGGAGACAAGGCCTCAGTGCCATGGGTTAGTGGTGGCCTTGGCAGTGATGGGGAATGGTTGGACTGGGTGAGCTTGAAGGGCTTTTCCAACCTGGTTGGTTCCATGACTCTGTGATGCTATGGTTTGGGGTCTCCCTTTGCTCTCCTGTTGTTGTTACCAGTGAGGAAGGCTGGAGCCTCCCTAGAGGAGGGGGGCTGCAGACAAAGAGGAGACACCATTCACCATTGTGATGGCCTGCCTTTGAACTAGTAACTGAGCCCTGAAAAGCCACCTCTGGTAACTGCTGATCTTGATAATTAACTGTGTGAATGCTGTTTTCTAGCCCACCCTTCCACTTTCCAGCCATTGTGCGGCGGCACTGCCTCATTTCTTGGCTTGGCAATACCTGCTTATTTCCTAGGAGCTGAATCAAAACAGCTTCTGATCTCCCTGCCCATTTCCTTGCCTAGCTGGGCATAAAATCACAGGTCTGCATTACTGCCAGGAGCATCCAGCTTCCTTTTGTGGGCTTATTCCAGCCACTGTTTTGCTAGCTGAAAGCCTTCCAAACTCAGCATCACAGCCTACTTATGGGTTTCCCAAAGCCACGTAAAGGCCTTGGGGCAGTTTCCATAGGTATAGGTTCTTCTGCCCTCTTCATCTTGAATTAGTTTCTTTACAGCTAGCAGGAGCTACGCTCTATCTGAGCAGGAGACCAGGCTTGAAACCAGGGGGTAAAGTGCTTTTATGGGGAAGTAGAATCTGTAATTGGCCAGATTTAAAACAATCATGGACAAACCCCTGGTTGCTTCGTGTAATTACAGTCTTTCTGCTTCCCATTAACCCTTCCATGAATTAGCTGTTGCTCTCTTTCCCCCTGTGCCTGCTGTTTCTCGCTGATGGGCTGTGTGTGCCTAATGAGCCCTCCAGCCGTGAATCAAGAAGTGTGAATCATCAGGACCTCAAAAGCATGATGTCTGATCAAAAAGCCACATTACAAAGGACCTCTGAGACCCCATTATTTAACTGGAACTGCAGCCTCAGGCTTCAGCAGGAGCCCAGGCAGGGGATGGGCTGGCTATGGATAATGGGTTCAAACTGAAACAGGGGAAGTTCAGGTTAGATCTAAGGCAGAAGTTCTTCCCTGTGAGGGTGCTGAGGCGCTGGCACAGGGTGTCCAGAGAAGCTGTGGCTGCCCCATCCCTGGCAGTGTTCAAGGCTGGGGCTTGGAGCAAGCTGCTCTAGTGGAAGGTGTCCCTGCCCGTGGCAGGGGGTTGGAACTGGTTGAGCTTTAAGGTGCCTTCCAACACAAACCAGTCAGGGTTCAGGTGGCCATACCCTGTAGCATCCCTGTTCAGGGCTGATTGCAGCAACACTTCATTTGCAGGGTGCATTTGCAGGGGTTTATGAACTTTTATAATGTGAAGGATTTATTTTCAATCTACATAGGGCAGAACTGGAGCAAAGCCCCCTGCAAATAGGGGTTACAGCCAGAGACGGGTGTTTTGAGTCTGCTTCTTTCCATTTTTCTCCTTTTCAAGAAAAGTGATGGTGGAATTAGCACAGGACCTGCTGGCTGGCACAGGGAGAGGCCCCTTGGTTGCAGACCTGTCCTAAGGTATTAATGGAAAGCTGCTCTCCTCATTTCAGCTGGGGAACTGAAGAAATGCAATGTCTTGGAGAATCCCAGCTACCCAGAAACCTGTGGTTAGGGATTGCTGTCAGACTCCATGCCAGATCCATCCATTTCACACACAGCAGCAAAAAGAGCTTTTTGGTTTTGTCCCCAGTGTGGCAGGGCATGAATCAAAGCAAAGGCAGGCGAGCAGATCTGGAGCCAAGGAAAACTGGGAGGTGCTGATTTACCAAAAGTACTTTGGATAGGTAAATGCTACTTAAATGTCAGGAGAAGGGAACATGTATGTAGGTGTTTGGCATCTCTTTGAGCTCCATCCCATTTGGGGATAGTCCAGGCAGGAGAACAGTAAATCCTCAAAATACATATCCTCTGGCCTACATCTGAGTGGGTTTGGGTATGTGTGGTGAAGGGGAGTGAAAAACCCATTCCTTCTTGGCTTCTTGAGTTTGGGTTGTGAATGCAAGGGAGCTCTATTCAGATGGGATATAAGGGCAAGGTTTTCCTTATTCAGCAGAAGTGCAAGGCAGGATAACACAGCTGTGGCCAAACTAAATCAACAGCAGTTCTTTTTCCAGCTACACCCCTGTTTATCTCAGACCTTTTATGCTCCTGGGACTTCAGTGGTTCACCTTGTGCTGGGTGGCATCTTGCCATAGCTATTCAGGAAAGATTTAAGGTTAATGGCCAATATCCAGAGCACTTTGTTCTCCCAAATGCCCATTTCCCCCCCCCTCCTCTTTTCTCTTCATGAATTTTCCTCCACTTGCTCGGATTGTTCCTGTTCCTCGTGCAGGAAAGACTCACCTGCTTGTGCTGTAGCACCCAAAACTATCAGGCAGAGGTCTTGGTTTAGTCTGCAGGGCTGCTCAGCACAGCCCAACTGCTTCAAGAAGTCATGCTGGGACCCTGCAAGGTGGCCTCAGGGACAGTGGCTTTTTGTGGAACCCGTTCTCCCCATTCTGCTCTCCCTGTGGCTGCACACAGGCTGGGGGGACCAAAGCAGCCCCTTGCAGTGGGGTTAAACTGGGAATCTCCATGCAGGGCCTTGCATCCTCCTATGTGCTGCCTCTGCCCCTGTTACACTGGGAGCATCCCTTTCAGGCAGCATCCCTTGCAGGCAGCATCCCTTGCAAGGCTGCCTGGGCCCCTCTCTGCTCCTTGGCCACCCAAACACCATTTCACACTTCATGTTGTGACGCATAGAATCATAGACTCGACCAGGTCAGAAGAGACCCTTAAGATCATGACCCTTATCACTGCCAAGGCCACCACTAACCCATGTCACTGAGGGCCTCATTTATATAGTTTGTGAGCACTTCCAGGGATGGTGACTCCAATTCCCAAACTCATTCTATTTCACTGAAAAGCCATAGGAAATCATTCCAGCTCTACTTCCACCCAGCCTTTCTTTATGTTTAGCTTAGCAGACTCTCAGTGTATTCATTCCCTTTTATTTCTAAGCAAACCCGAGCAATGTGCTAGAGAAACACAACCCCTCTGGGATGTTCCCAGCCTTGGCTGGAGCCGCTGAGCCCCCCCCCCGGGGCCGGGAGGCTGCCTCTGGCTGGAGCTCAGCGGGCGGCTCTCTGGGACAGTGCTTTGGGATCCAAGCCGGCTGTGTGAGGGCAGAGCAGAGCCACTGCAGCCCTGCTCGGCATGGCGCTGCGGGGAGCCTGCCTGCTCCTCTGCCTCCTCTCCCTTGCCCACATCTCCAGCCAGCAAAACGGGAAAGCCCGGCAGAAACCAGCAGCTTCCAAGAAAGGTAAAGGAGCTTTGGCATGTGCCCTGTGGGAAACCTTGCGGGGCTTGGGGGGATGCTGTTGGCTCCGGTGTTTGGGGATTTGACAGTGCTTTAATGAAGCTTTCAAGTAAGCAGCTAAAACCCTAACAGTTATTTTTCCCCCCTGTCGAATGATTGTGAAGCTCTTCTGTAACAGTGAAATATTTTGGGTGAGTTCCTCCCTTAAATAAGTGGTGGGACGGCTTGGTCTGAATTTCAGAGGGCAACACCTTTTCCATGTTAACTGTGCTTCTCCCCAAACTTGTCCTCTATTAAACTCTCCATTTCTACACCCCCTAACCCTCATTCATTTGTTTTCAGAACCAAGTGGCAGATGACAGAAAACTGTTGTAGGTTTGGAGACAGGAGTAGGCAGATCATACAGAATCCCTTAAACAGCAACATGGATCTTGGTTTTTAAACGCTTACCCCTGGTGCATGTCAAGCCGTACACAAGCTCCAACCTCTCAAGCTTACCAGAGGGCAACAGACATGAAAAGATGCTGAAGTTTTCTTTTCCCTTGTATGTTTGGTTTTTCCTTCTCCTCTCCTCTTTTGCCACTGTCCCACCCTTCCTCCTTCCAGCTCAATGCATATGAATCCTAGAAGGCAGGTAAGGAAGCAGCCTGTGTCCATCCCAGTGGCGTGAGAACCTGCCTGATGTGTCTGAGTTGGACCACTTCTGGCAAGCGCTTTCCTGCTTGGAACGAAGCAGGGAGCAAGGGAGAAGCATCCCAGGAATTTGCTTGGCCTGGCTGCTCTCTGCTCACCCAGGGGCTGTTTTCATCATAGCTCTTGGATCCTTGAGAAGTTTTTCCTTTCTCTCCCATTAGATTTCTCTAGGGAATCATGGCATAGCTGCTTATTCTAGATCTTTAGTCTGTGGTTGTTCTCTAGAGCAAAAAATACCCCTGTGGGTTCATACTGGGCACAAAAGTGCATGGAACTCACTGGAGGCACCAGGAGAGAGATAGATTACTTAGAGAAGTCCTGGTTTTCTCCCTGGTGACAAGAAGGTGGGAGAAAAATCACCTTTTTGACAGGAAAATCGGGCTCTGATTTAAAACCATTTGCAGGGGCTGTCCCGAAAATCCAGTCCTCTGCTGGCAGCTTTTAGTGGGAGCTTCAGAGCTCCTTTTCAAAGTCAAGTTTTCTGTGGGGAAAAGGAAAACACCCAACAACTTGGCATGTTTTGGGCAGCCACATCAGCTGCACTGCCTTTACTGGAAACTTCCAGCGACCCTTGGCTAACATTCTTCGGACTTTTGCCCATGCCAGGGGGTGGGATAAGAGGGAGGAAAGGGCTAAAACTCCCCTGTAAGGCTCCTCTTTGTCTCCATCCACTTGCCACATCCAAGCCTGCAGATGCCCACCCGCTGCAGGGGTGAGGATGATCCTATCCCAGCTCACCCCTTGCTCTTTCCCAGGGAGGTTCAGGCAGGGTGAAGCCACTGGAGGGTTGGGGTGTTTGGCTGGTTTCCTTTCTTTTTAATCTGTGCAGCCAAACCATAAATGTTAGAAAACGCTGATTCAAGCCAAGCTTTTCATTTCTTTATCTGCATTTTTCCTTTTTTCTTCTTCTTTTCTTTTTTTGGTAATTATTGCTTACATTTGGATCTGCTTCAGGACGAAAATGCTGCTGTTTCAACACGAAAAAGCCAAACCATAGCATGTAGAAAACGCTGATACAGCACATTCACTTGGCCTGCTGGTTGGGGGGGGGTCCCCCTTAAATTGCTCCCCAGTGATTTCTCCAGGTGCAGTGATTCAGGAAACAACCCCTGAACCCCAGTGTCTTGGGGGGCAAGTGGGACTTGCCCACAAGGGTGCCCAGGGGAGGTGGGCAATGGCACCCCTCCACATGGGGGCACAGGCCTTGGTCTGAGCTGCAGTGAGGTGCTGGGGACACAAGGAGGGAACATCTCTGTGTAGCTCTCACATGTGTTTTGAAGGTAAATGGAGATGGAAATTGGGAGTCTGGATGCTTAAATCAGTGGATAGGGACCGATTTGGGCTCCACTCCTGATGCTGCCCAGAATTTTGGTGTAACCTTGTAGTGGGTGCTCTTCCCTGAAAATCATAGAATCCCAGACTGGTTTGGGTTGAAGGGACCTTAAAGCTCATCCAGTTCCAACCCCTTGCCATGGGCAGGGACACCTTCCACAGACCCAAGCTGTAAATAGCCTTGCTTCAGGGAGGAGAGCCTCAAGGAAATGAGAGGGCAGAGAACAAAACCCTCTGGCAATAAAATAGGGAACTCGGTGTCTGTTGATGTAGCCACAGTGCTCCTTTGTAGCTGGAGTGCAAATTCACCAGTCTCCCTGTGATGTCCTGCTGAACGTGCTGCTGTAGGAGCATCTTGTGGCCCAGGATTTGGACACGAGGTGGTATAATACATATGGGTGTGTGTATATATATATATATATATATATATGGGTGTGTTACCAAGGAGATGTGTCACCTTGATGGGAACCCACCAGCAAACCCAGCTGGAACAACATAAAGAGCAAGATTCTTTGGCAGTGTCCTGCTGTGGCCCTTGGATGTTACTTAAACCTAAAAGTGGCATTTGTTCTGCTGCAAGACAGGTTTGTATGAGAAAAAAAACCACAACAAATAGTTTTAATCAGCTGTTTCCCACAGTGTTTTCATCAAAGGCAGAAGAATAATAACTAGTGCCTCAGTGTTAAGTGAACCTATTGAAGTTAATGAAGCAATAAGTAAAGCAGCTCAATGCCCTCCTCCTGATGTGTCTGGCTTTTCATACCCATGTAGTCTTCGAGCTGGTAGGTTTGGTCACCATCCAAGCTGCTTCCCCACTTGCCTGGCTTGGTGCCTCTGCCTCAACATCTGCTGTCCCACCACCTTTTGCTCCTAGACAGGAAAAATCCAAGTAGTGATTAATAGCTGCTTAGGTCCACTGCAAAGGCAACATACCTAGCAAGACATGGGCTTTAGCAGGCTGCAGCTGGCCAAGGAGCTGTTCATCATCAGCTTTAAGTTCCCCACAAAAGATGCACACGTGGCAGCACCATTAGGTCAGCACCCCAGGCAAGTGCCATACACAGGAGCTCCAGAGATGAGCCTGCACCTTGTGATGCTCGTGTGTGTGCCCCCACCACCACCACAGCAGCAGCCTAAGGAACACCTCTGTGGTAGGAAGCTCCATGGCGTGCAAAGCCCTGAAACCCAAACTGGGAATACTGGGTTGATGGTGGAACCAGGCTAGAGAGCACGTGAAGATCCCTCTGATGGATGTGCAAGGGGACCTGGGTGTTGACAGTGTGGATTCCTTTTGTTTGTCGTTCTCTGCAGGCAGAGAAGGTGGTGATGATAGGAACAGCTTTGGTGCTCCCCTGGGCATGCGACCAATATTTATGTTCCTCCCTTGATTTCCCCACCAGATGTGAGCCTCAAAATGATTGAAGACCTGAAGGCCATGATTGACAACATCTCTCAGGAGGTTGCTCTACTGAAGGAAAAGCAAGCTCTCCAGACAGGTAAAGGACTTGCTGAAGAAGGCATGGCTTTTGCTTCGAGAGAGGAGCTGCTTATAAGGTGGCTACAATTACTCCACACATTCTGACAAGAGATGCCCAGACACCCAAGATGTGAAGATGGACATGGAGTCCATCACAGGGAGACGTTGGGGTATCAAAATGCAATTTCTCCAGGCAGATGAAACCCCTCAGGCAGTTAATGGCATGTAGTCCCCCCTCTTGATGTTCTAGAGCTTACCATTTGTAAAGCTGTGGCACTCCGATGACACTAATCTAGGTGTTCATTTTCTTTTATGAGTTAGAGGGATGAGTAATGGATTAGTCTGTGCTTTAGTCAAATGTAGCTTGCTTTTTTGTCTGACTCCAGTGCAATGGTGACCTGGTCTCTTATATATACCAAGGTATTGCTCACTGGAGCTCAATCCCCCTGTGCTTCATTGAACATGTACAGAGGAGAGTCCCAGAATGTCCATCTTCCAGCCATGCTCCACAGCTGCTTTCTATGAACACCACTGACATCAGTAGGAGAAGGACTTGCAGAGCACAAAACAGAAATGAGATGAAAATGCAAGTTAAGGAGAATTTTCTCCTTTAAAGAAAAGCAACACAAGCAAAATCAAGGCTTTAGTTCCGAGCTCATATTCGTTAAGATGAAGTCAGTTTGGATATTAATGGGTGGCTCTGATTAGTTCTTGTTTGGCCACAGTACCTTGCACTGCCAAGGTTTAGAGCTTGAAAGAAAAGCAAAACAAATTGTTACCCCTAACAGTAAAGTCAGAGGCAAGCAGAAATTCCCTCTGAAGGCCTCAAGCGATGCAAGCACAATGCTGCTGAGCAAAGCTTATTGAAAAAGACACTTTCTTCATCTTGCCTACTTAAGGTGATGTAACTGGCATTACAGACTTGTTCCCCAAACCCTCAGCAGCACCCATCACACACCATGCATCCAACAAACACATCAGAGAAAGCTGGGGAGGACCATGGCCAGGGCAGGAGGACCAGGCTGTGCCTCTGCTCTGGCAGAGCCCAGGAGGGTGGAAGGGGCACCTCAAGTTCTATTTATCCCAGTGGTTTGCAGACAGGGAGGGCACATCCCCAACAGTTCATAGAATCACAGAATCCCAGACTGGTTTGGGTTGGAAGGGACCTTAAAGCTCACCCAGTTCCAACCCCCTGAAACGGACAGGGACACCTTCCACTAGAGCAGGTTGCTCCAAGCCCCATCCAGCCTGGCCTTGAACACTGCCAGGGATGGAGCAGCCACAGCTTCTCTGGGCACCCTGTGCCAGCGCCTCAGCATCCTCACAGGGAAGAACTTCTGCCTTAGATCTAACCTGAACTCCCCCTGTTTCAGTTTGAACCCATCACCCCTTGTGCTGTCACTATAGTCCCTGATGAAGAGCCTCATCTCTGGTAGCTGTGTCCTGCAAAGAAGCAACAGGGCCCTGGGGCTCTGTGCTGCCAAGGGTCACTGCGCAGCCTAAGAAATGAGCTCTGTAGTCTGGCCACTGCATTCGATGCTGCTGCCTCTTCCCTGCACTGGTTTTAACCCCAATTCCCTTTTCTGTCTTCTTTTTTGCTGTTTGTGCCATGACCTCTCAGTTTGCCTGAAAGGCACCAAAATCCACCTAAAATGCTTCCTTGCATTCCCGGAGACCAAGACCTACCACGAGGCCAGCGAGAACTGCATCTCGCAGGGCGGCACGCTCAGCACCCCGCAGGGCGGCGAGGAGAACGATGCGCTCTACGACTACATGCGCAAGAGCATCGGCTCCGAGGCCGAGATCTGGCTGGGCCTCAACGACATGGCCGTGGAGGGCAAGTGGGTCGACATGACGGGTGGCCCCATCCGCTACAAGAACTGGGAGACTGAAATCACCACCCAGCCCGACGGCGGCAAGCTGGAAAACTGCGCGGCCTTGTCGGGAGCTGCCATCGGGAAGTGGTTCGACAAGAGGTGCAAAGAGCAGCTGCCCTATGTCTGCCAGTTCATGATCGTGTAGCTGCGGGGGTCCCCCCACAACACAGGTCTTCCCCCTGGGATTATAAAGCTGTAGGTATGTGTGTGTGTGTGTGTGTGTACATCTATGTTTGTGCGCACACAGGTTTGAGTAGAGCCACTCTTTGCAAAGAGAGTTGTCACAGCTCCATGTGGCATTAGAGAGCGTTAGAGCATTTCACTTGGCCACATCCAGCCCCGTTAGCAGCTGCAGCGTTCTTCCTAAGGCACAATCTATAGATATATTTTTTTACACAGGGAATTTATTAGGACTATAGAGGCTTGGTTGCTTTGGCAAAGAACCAGTGCAGCAGTCCAGCAACCAGCCACAGCTATCACTTTTTCCCATCTTGCTGAGCTTTGTTGGGACACCAGCATGGCTAGTTCCTGCCTTCTTCTCTTGGTTTGGTTCCCCATAAGCCCTGGCAGAAACCCGTGGGAGCTCCGTGTTCCTCCTCACAGTGCCACAATTCAGGCTCCTGGGGATGGAGGTCCTGTCTTAACAAGCAGAGGGAGTTACTCCTGTTTTGCATTGAGAGATACAATTGGGCTTATCGGCTGAGTAGCAGCTGCTCAATGGGTCGTCTGACTAGTCCAGTTATGTGCATGACTGAAATAGCAAGTACCAGGCATGGTACCACTAATTCATTCATTACTTACCAGACATTGACTTAGTGAGAAGGTGGGTGTCCTTTCCAGAAGCATTCCCTGCTTTCCTGGTCCTTTTCTCATCAGCCAGAAGCCAGTTTCACTGATTCCCATGGGAGAGCGAGACCCACTGCCAGATCCTTAAAAAAAACCCATTGGAAGCTTTATTTACGCTCCAGCACCATGGGGGAAGCAGTGATGACTTGCAGCATAGTCAGTCAAATATATTAATGGAAATGGAAGATGAAAGCATTACGTAAATAACAGAAACTTAATGCTATTAGGGAATACTCTGCCTTATGAAAAACAACTGTGTATTGAAAACAAACTCCAAGACAACTTGCTTTACCAGCTTTAGGAATCATCTGACCCCTTTAAGTGATGGAAACCCAGCTGAAATATTCCAGTCTTCGTTGGGCCATGCACAGTCCTTAGCAAATATAAATCTGAAGGCAATTTTTTGCTGAGAAGAAGGTTAAAGACAATAAAAACCAAAGAACCAGCAATGATGGGAAAGAGGTGAAGGCTACCCCAGCAGTGTAATGAAGCTTTGAGGGCTGTTGGCTGGAAGGCAGCAGTGGTTCTTTGCAGTCCTGTGCTTGGTATTACCCCTCCAGTCCAAGCTGGGGGTGTTGAGGCATGATGCTTTTGGGGAGCCCATGGGAGAGGTATTTCCATTTGCTGCTTTGTGTAAAAGCAGCTCGATGGTGGGTCTTCCAAGACATCAAGTGGGAGCCAAGCTGGAGGGATCAGAACAGACACACAAACGCAGAGTGCACACTTCCAAGGCTGTCACTATTGCCAACCTCTCCGCTGTTTGAATGACTATAAAATAAAGATACATATAGAGCTTGCTGAAGGAATGGAGTTGAGTCAGTGTGGTTGGAATGCTTTTTTCTCCTTGCATTTCCCTTCAGAGCAGCTCCAGGGATCTGTCAGGAGGTCGGAGATATCGAAGGCAGAGGGGGAAAGCAGAAAGTGAGAGCCTCCTCCCCTGTGAGATGGTTCGTAGGATAACCCCACTTCACTGTTACCATCCTCGTCACATGCCATACGTAGGGGATACACATAGGAAAATAAGATTCCCTACCTCCTCTCCCTTTGCTGTTGGGGAATTTCATACTGAAATACAAGCCACCCCATAAGGGCCTTCCCTCACCCCTGCTTGGCAGTGGTAGCAGTGCTGGGGGAGGTGGCATCTTGGGTCCCAGGCTGCGTCCCACCTCCTCCACAACAAGCAGAGTATCCCACTCCTTCCCTCCCTAAGGTGGTGATGGCTTACCCCTCCTCATCCTCCTCCTCAGCATCCTGCAGGGGAGAGACCATACATGAGGAGGGCAGTGCTCCAAAGCAGGCTGGGACAGTTCAAGTGCTGCAGAACTGCACATGGAATTAGGTCTGTTTTGCACAAGAGGTCAGCCCTTTGCCAAACTTTAATCTGGACCCTAATCCAGAAGGTTTCCAAGGCTCTTTGCTGTAGGTCATTGCTGTGGTTTACCATCAATAATTCCTTTCTGAAGCATCCCTCAGAGCAAGGGCCACAGCAGCACACTGTTAACACACCTCAGCACCCAGCTAGCAGCCAGCTTGCTTTGGGCTTCAGTAAAAGGGCCAGATAGGCAAAAGTGGGTGAGAATTTAGGACTCACGAGCCAAAAGCTTGTTTTGAGTCTTTGAGTCTTTCCTTCACTGGGAAGGAAAAACACTGAATTGTCTTCAGGGATATCAGACATAGGCATGAAATCATCTGCGTTGCCAGCTGGTTTAAGATATTTGGAAACTTACTCTCTGTTCATCCAAAGAAAAGAAATCAGGGAAGAAGATCTAAGGCTTGCTGCCTTTTATTTGCTCTGCAAGAATAAGCTATAAAATGCTCACCAACCAACCATACTAGATGGTTTCATTATGCCTTTGCTTACTTTTTAGGGTTTAACACTTATGAAATAAACTCTCATTAACTTAAGGAAACGAATAAAGGGCAAACATACTTTTGTGGTTTAACCCCAGCTGGTAACTAAGTACCATGCAGCTATTGGCTTACACACATGTTCACACCCCCCTTGGCAGGATGAGGAGAACTGGAAAAGATAAAACGCATGGGTTGAGGTAAGAGCAGTGTAATAACTGAAATATAGGAAATAAGGAAAGCTAGAGAGAGGAATAAAACCCAAGACAGACAAGTGATGCACAACACAACCGCTCACGACCCACTGAGCCCATCCCAAGCAGCCATCGGTGGCTCCTGGACAACCTCCCTCCAGTTTCTATACCGGGCACGACGTGCTGTGGTATGAACAAAAAAGGGCTTCACGTTCACATTCTCATAAGGGTCACTCTTGAGCTGAAGGACTGATCATAAAATGCACTTTTATGCTATTATCCCTGAAAGGAAATGAATTTGGAATTCAATTGTGCATGTCAGTTGAATGAATTACTGGCATCGCGACCCTGCCAAGAAGCCACTGAACCATTTATCTTTAAATGAAAGCTTCCAGTATCTTAAACCCCTTCTTCCCAGTAATCTAAACACATGCCTCTAAAACCAGCAATTAATAGCAGGTCACTGGCTATGGGAGAAAAAGGACGCACACAGTAAGCAGTACCTTGCATTGTCAATGGTGCAGCTACCGACAGTCAAGCATCAAAACACCCAAGGCTGAGTTTACACACACACACCTGAGACATGCGCTACTTATTCCAGCTGGCGGTATCATTGTGTTTTATATATTTATTAAAAATAAACCTAAGTCACAACGTAATGAAAAGCAAACTGGGATTAGTGCCTGCACTCTTAACTCTAACCATACCAAAAATGAGCACAGTGAAAGTCAACCTTAGACTGAAAACAACCATAAACTAAGGTTCATACTGCTGTACCGGACGATGAGTTAAAATACAACAAATAAAACCACCAGCTAACAAGCATTGTGTTCTTCCTTCAAAGATGAAGATGCTGTGAACACAAGCCTGACCTCCATTATGTTTTCTTCTGTTGGTTAGAAGGAGAATGTCCATCTAAGCAACTGCAGAAACCGAGCCAGAGGGGTGAGACAGCCCTGAATTGCTCTTACACTTACTCCTTTTCAATAGAAGTGAGAAACACTGAGCAGACAAAGGCACAACTGGACTACTCTGATCAAAATGCACTGTGGCAATTCAGTTACCTGAGAAAAACAGATACCAGTATTGCAGGAGTCTCTTTTTCATTCTCAAATGGCATTAAAATGACCCAGTACACTTTGAAATGCATGGTTCCCAGTGACTTGCCAGAGATTTAGGAATACATATTTCTCTATTAAAAATTACAAGCATGAAAATACATGAAACAATTAAAAGGCACTTTTAGCTGGCACATGGTTTGCTATATGCTACAGAAAACTGAGCCAGATACAACATTATAGTGAATGTAATAGCGGTCCAAGCAGTATAATAGTACACACTTAAAACACACACACTTGACCAAATAAATAGGCAATCTGCAGTGCCAGCATAGTTAACACAGGAAGAAATCCACATTGTAAAACATGTAAACAATAAAGGTATCTAGTAAGGACATTCTCATTTTAGACATCATTATATGTTGAACATTACTGCATGCAACACTAAAAGTTTTATGGCACCGCTGTGTATCACTAGGCAAGAAACAGTCATAAGAAGACATCTGGAGAGAACTTCTTGGGTCTAGGGCTGCATGCAGAATGGCAAACATCCTCAGGAACTGCACAGCTGGCCCAGCCAGGTGTCTCTATGTAAAAGGCAACTTTATTCATGTACCCGTAATCCTATGCACAAAGACCTGACCCTCAAGTGTTAAAAGGCACAGACACCGAGCGGCATCCTAAGTACAGCACTTACAAATGAGACCTGTGGTTTACCTGAGTTCAAGAGGTGCTTGTCAAAGGCAGCCAGACACCCTAAGTGTAAGTCGTGCTAGAAATCAAGAGCTGTTCCCACCATCATTTCAGCATGGTTGTTAAATCCAGACTGATTAACCAAAACCCTAATTAAACAATCAAGGCTTTCCTTATGGCTTCACTCTCATTCTTTGCATTTCAGAGAAACAGGCTTTGGTGCAGGCTAACCCAGTATAACAAAGTCAGCTGGAAATGAGAGAGAACCCATAACTCTACTTCTGAACTAGAAGAGCCCAAGCTCAAACTTCACTTACGCACATGGAGCTCTTCCAGGTGGCGTACGCAGTCTTTCACTACACATTCATAACCACCTGCACACTAAACATGATGAATCTGCAAGCAGCAAGAGGTGGAAATGACAGTGCCACCTCCTTTGCTTAGATGCCTGCAACCTGGAGCTGCCCTGAGACAGTGACGTAGCCTATGTCTTCCAAGAGTCACCAACCAACACTCAGGAACAAATGACTTGTGAGAGGAGGCAAATACTGGACAGGACTCTCTCCCCACTTTATTAATTGCCACAGCTTTAAGCTGGCAGTTAGGGATTCATTTTCTCTGTAAGAAAAAGCAGGAGCATACCTTTGCCACCAGTTTCACAACCAGAAGCGCATGCAGTCCTGGAGTGCCTCAACTGGTTTGGGAGTTTGATGGATGTTCACTCTAAAACTGAAAGCTATCAACGGCTGACGTTTAAAACCAACCAACAACCAAACACACACACACACACACAGAAACAGAAACAACATCAACACACCTTTAAAAATAACACTCCTCTTCAGTTATTTTTCCCTAGACCCCGTGCTTACACCTGGATTTCCACAGGAAACTGCTATACCTGGTGTAAAATTACTCCACTGAACCATCCTGTTCCTTATCTTCCAGCAAGGATGTGCTTGTACCTCCATTCTTCTCTTCATTTGTATCTCCGTTGTCCTCTGATTGCCCTGATTTCTGATGGGCGAAGGTGTAAGTGTCATGGTCCATGTCTGTCAGAGGTGGAGGGTCCTCGGTGTTAGAAGAGCATTTAATGTCTTTTCTGAAGGAGAATGGAGGTGGAGAGGGTGGCAAGCTACCAATGGGTCCATCAAAAGGCCGGTACACATCAACTTCTGGACTGACTGAGCCATTGGATTCCTTCAGCAAGTGCCCATAGACCATAGCATCATCAATAACTGCATAGACATGAGATTCGTTGTTTTTCCTCCCTTTTGTGAATAAGCCTTGTTTCCCAGGCATCTGGGTATTCACGTTAGGATTGTACACTCCCACCATGGGGTCCTGGCTTTTCTTCTTCCTATTAAGAGAGTTGAAACTGTTAACAGGTCACCAGCAACACCTGGCTGGTGAGTTTGAACCCAGTGAATAACAACAGCTTCTGTTGACTCATCCCAGCCACCCAAGTCTGCCTGGATTGAAGGTTTTACTTGCAATCTTAGGAAGAATAACTCTTGAGCCTAGACATGCTTTTTTAACAGAGCAGAAAATAACTTTACTGCTAATAATAACTATGATTGCATTTAATAACTTATGCTCTTTGGTTACCTAACTGCTGCTTTGCTGACCCTGACAGTTGTAAGATGAACTCCCAAGCATGGGGTCCTAGCTGCGCCATGTAAAGAGTCTCCCAGTGTCCACAGTCAGGATCTAGAGGCCATCAGATCCTCACAAAACAAGACTGAGCATTACTGACGATGAGTAAGCCAGTGGGTCCTTTAAGGAAGTTGAATTAACTTTACCTGGTTTCACTTTCTGAACCGTCTGAAAGGCTGAAGCTTCTGAAGCCTGTATTTGTAAAGCCTTTTTCCTGTGCCAGAGAAGTGTTCTTATAACTGCTCTTGCCATCAAACTGCACAAATTCATTCCAGCTCCATAGCTTCAGCACCCCATCACGCTGCCAGCACTAAGCATACGTGTATCAGAAACCCCAAGCTATCGATGACTTCAGGCTCTGCATGTGTGAGTAATGCTATGCATGTTTGCTTTGCTCAGCCTAGCTCTCTCCCCAAGGGCTCATCTCATACAAAAACGTTCCCACTTGATGTGCAGACTCCAGGAGAAGCTGCTGGAGGTTGTGTAGATGAAAGATAGATAGCTCCTGGTTTATCACAGCTTGTTTGGAGCCTTGTCTGAGGTCACATGGACAGCAGCCACACTCATTACAACCTCATCTCACAAGAACTGCTTATGAAGTCTAACCAATGCCTTACAGCACAGCCAGAAGCCTGTGCTAAGGCCAAGACAGGCAATGCACCGGGCGTTGAAGTGATGCGACTCCAGGAGCAGCATTCCTGGAGTTGCACTGCTTCCACCGCCGTTGTCTGCATCATGCTTCAGACCCCTGTTCAAGGGATCTGTACACGGGGAACAGATGGCCAGCAGCAATACCAAAATGCCCTCTTGAACATGCCGAGGTGTGAACTTACTTCTTCTTGACACAGCACACAGTCAGTCCAATAGCAGTGAGAACTCCAGCCCCGGCCACCACCGCAAGGATCACTCCTAAGTCTGCAAACAGACAAGGTGCAAGGACACTGAGAAAGAGAGGGAAAACATGCAGCTTTCTCCTAAAAGCTGTCTGGGTTGGAAGCTCCTCAGGAGTTCATCTGGAAGTAGAGCAGGAATCTCCCAGCCGTGGGGCACCCCAAGCCATTTCCAAGAGGCTGGAGGCTAAGCAATGATAAAACTACTGCAAGCAGCAGAGGACAAATAAAAACCCCAACCAACCCATCCCAATACAGCTTGTGTGCTGCTAAACTTACCTCGTGTGCCTCTGGCTGAATAAGGCAAGAGAAGGAAGTGCAGAGAGACAGAGGGATTCAACAGAGGAAAGAGTGACATTTCACCAAGCACCCCTCAGTGCCACCCCTTCCTCTGCATTACACAAGTTGTGTCGATCTGGGGTTTTCCAGGAGTCATAAAATTGATCAGGAAAGTCCATGTGTGAGCAAAGAAAAAAGCTGTGTGCTGTACAAGTAGCATACATTACCAAGGAGGGAAAATAATACACATTCATTTCATCCTGTTTCAGTTCTAGCCTGTGTAGCCAATACTTCTACAGACAGCAGTCTCCCATAGGCAAAGAGGAAGGACAAATGTGAAGCAAATTTACACAAGCAAAGCCTACCCTAAAAATGCACCCAACCTCCCCTTTCTCATAAAGCTACTGATGTTTTGGGGACATGAAAGACATTAAGAACACAGATTTTGCTGATAGTAGTCAGGATACTCTCCACTATATGGTCAGATCTGTCCCAGGGCTGGTTTCTTCCTCATGTGCACGCTGAGATTAACTGAACTGCTATCATGAAGTAAAGACCACTTGCATGAAAAAGTTTGCATAAGCAGATCTCAAGTTATTAGCCAGGTCTGTGATGCTGGGAGAGAAAAATATCACTTGATCTTACACGTTTTGGCTGTGATGTCCCATTAAAAAAGGTGAATTAAATAAAAGCAAATCCAGCCTTACTCCTCCAAGCCCTGCAATACCTAAAAACTCCTAAAACCCAAGCCGAAAACCACCCCAAACCCCACAGAAAGAATCATAGAATAGTTAGGGTTGGAAAGAACCTGAAGATCATCCAGTTCCAACCCCCTGCCATGGGCAGGGACACCTCACACTAAACCATCTCACCCAAGGCTTTGTCCAACCTGGTCTTGAACACTGCTAGGGATGGAGCATTCACAGCCTCCCTGGGCAACCCATTCCAGTGTCTCACCACCCTAACAGGAAAGAATTTCCTCCTTAGATCCAATCTAAACTTCCCCTGTTTCAGTTTTAACCCGTTACCCCTTGTCCTATCTCTACAATCCCTAATGAAGAGTCCCTAAAGAAACACAAAACTCTTCCTTCCTCCCCAGCTTCTATAAGTACCCAGCTGTAACTCAGGTTTCCGAAGGACAGCGATGTCCAAAGGCAGGGCTCTACTGAACCCCACACCCATCGAAGATCAAGCATCCTTTCCCTAAGGGAAAGCCAGGAAACAAGCAGGAAGCAAACCACCACAGCCCCCGAGGACTCACCTATCTGCTTGTCGGCAGAAGTCACCTGGAACTGCAAGGTCAGCTGCGTCCTCTCCACAGGCTTACAGTTGGAGACGTTGACCCAGAAGTTGTGATGCATATTTCGGGGCTGGGGCAGCAGCTCGTCCTCACGGCGCACGGTCTCCTCTGCCCCTGGTGTCTCCTCCTTTATGTTGACATAGGCACGGCCCGTCTCACACACAATGCCCATGCGGTCCTTGGAGAACCCCAGGCGGGCAACTTGCTTGCTAGGCACAAGGATGTACCAGGATATGGAGACGTAAGGAGGGAGACCGTAAGGCCAGTTGGGAGTCTGCAAGTAAACTTTGGCTTTTGGATCTGGACTCACAGTGAAAGTGCACTCATCTGTAGTAAAGGAAAAGGACAAAGGAATGAAAACTTAGTGCTGGTGTCCTCAACATGAGGGACATGGAGCTGTTGGAGCAAATCAGGGGCTGGAGCACCATCCATACAAAGACAGGCTGAGAACATTGGGGCTGTTCAGTCTGGAGAAGAGAAGCTGCGTGGAGACCTCAGAGCAGCTTCCAGTGTCTGAAGGGGGCTACAAGGATGCTGGAGAGGGACTCTTCATCAGGGACTGTAGTGATAGGACAAGGGGTGATGGGTTCAAACTGAAACAGGGGAAGTTCAGGTTAGATCTAAAGCAGAAGTTCTTCCCTGTGAGGGTGCTGAGGCGCTGGCACAGGGTGCCCAGAGAACTGGTAAATGCTCCATCCCTGGCAGTGTTCAAGGCCAGGCTAGACAGAGCCTTGGGCAACCTGGTTTAGTGTGAGGTGTCCCTGCCTGTGGCAGGGGGTTGGAACTGGATGATCTTATGGTCCTTCCCAACCCAAACCATTCTGGGATTCTATGCACTCAATTGCACCTCAGTACCAGCAATACAACTCTCTTATTGTCCCCTCCCACATGAGTCATTAACACAATTAGCACAGCTATATCCACAGAATTTCCTACAACCACCTATCCACCTGGAGTTCAAAGTTCCTTCCTTCTTCCAGGAATACACCACCTCACTGATTCAGATAAAGACTCATCCCAGCAGTGGCTCCAGGACTCCACTCTAAAGAATTAAACTCTTATTTCTATTTATCCATACGTGCTCTAGTAAGCGTATTGAGACATCCAACACTGTGCAACCAAGTAGTACAAAGCACTACCTTACCTTTAATATGAGGCACGAAAGACATTTTCAGATCCTGATGGTTAGACTCGTTGAGGAATCCTTTCCCAAACGTTTTTAAAGATACGGTGATATTATTCCTCATCTGAATCTTTTCAATGGATCCACCAGGACAGAACACACCAACGTTCAGCTCGGTCTCCGGGGTGGCACTGACAATGCTGTAACTGTAGCTCGTGTTGCACCTCTGCTCCGGGACGTGTTGCTGAAGTCTCAAGGATGGAGATGTAATTTCTATGTTGATCAGATCGGGAGCCAAGAGCTTCCAAATGAACTTATGCAGTCGAATCGGCAGCTGGGTGATAGCGTTGGGCACTGAAAGGGAATAGATCTTCCTCTGACACCACCGGAGATCGACACAGCCTGCAATCACAAAAACAAGCCCCAGGGGTTGTAGGTTTCTTGCAGATGAAATAGCTAGGAAAAGCAAGATCCCCTGTGTACACACACACAGAAAGCACTGTCACTTTTGTGTTAGAAATACACCTAAGCATCCACGCGAGGAAACATTACCCAAACATGCATCATTTGTACTAAAAAGCTCTCCTTAAAAGCGTGCAGGACACCAAAGAAATGAACAGACGCAAACATACTCAAAGTCCCTTCCTCAAGATGCTACTTTTGCTGACTGGGACGCTGCTGCAGTCAAACCAAAGTCCAGATATCCATTAGAAAACTCTCCCTAATGGTAGTTGAAAGCGTTCGGGAAGTTCCACATAAAGTGGACATGCAATCAGCACAAGATGCATTCCTGATGGCCACCTCGGACCTGCCTTTTCATGGGCAGATTTATGGCTCTCCTGCTCTGTTTTCATGTTTTGCAGTTTCCCAAGAAGACTCTTAGGTGCCTTCTGTCCTTTTCCATCTAGGAATGGCCGCGCAGTTTCTATTTTTAAAGGTAGAATGATGTAGCGAACAACCGATCATCTCCAGATTCACTATATCCACCTCCCAGCTGGCCAATGCCTGGTTTCCAGCCACACTCTTATTTAAACCCCAAGCAAGAGAGGTTTGGGCAACCCCTGGGGAAAAGCATGCAAAAATACTTCTGTAGGAAACCCCATTAAGCCACTTCTGTCGTACTTATGCCTTTCTCAGCTGTGATCCTCAGCCGGGACAAGTCCTTGCACAGAAAGGAGATCTTGTAGATGGCACCAGACACTAAAGTCAATGCGCGATCACAGTTGCGAGGATCCTTACAGATGAGGCATATGGGTTCAGACATGAGTGGAGCGCGGATGGGCCACCCTTCGAAGTGAATCGTCACGGTCGTGTTCCACTCCTTGCTCAGGTCGACCAAATGGGTGACATCTGCAATGAAAAACATCCCAGAACTATTACTGGCAAGAAGCAGATGTCCTTCAGCTCTTCTCCCCCCGTTAGACAAGCGGATGTTTCTGTATCAGCTAAGAAAACATTCTTTACTTCTTTCCATGAGTGTTATGGAACTCAGGCAGCATCCTATCATACTTCAAATTTAAAGGTTTGAGCTTTTCCACACACAAACCCCATTTTCCTACGACTTTCCAGCTACAACACAGTAACGCATATGCTATCCCCTTTTGAACCATAAAATGGTTTGGGTTGGAAGGGACCTTAAAGCTCATCCAGTTCCAACCCCCTGCCATGGGCAGGGACACCTCACACCAGACCAGGTTGCTCCAAGCCCCTGTGTCCAACCTGCCCTTGAACACTGCCAGGGATGGGGCAGCCACAGCTTCTCTGGGCACCCTGTGCCAGCGCCTCAGCACCCTCACAGGGAAGAGCTTCTGCCTTAGATCTAATCTAAATCTACCCTCTTTTGAAGAGGTTAGGCAAGAGGTCAGACTGAATCCTCCAAGTCACTGGCACACGCAAGCACAGAACCTAGCACTTCAACCACAAGGTTTCTGATTCTCCAATACGTTTCATAGCAGCTAAACACAGACACGGTTAGAACAAGAAGTTATTTCAACTGGAGAGAGCTGTATCTTCACCCTATTTAATGCCAAGCACCACAGACAGCTGTGTAATACTCAGATGTTTGGGAAGCTTTGAGAATATGCAGATAGCAATGCATTTTTAATAAGAGCCATGTTTAACTTGCACACTGCAGATGGCTTATTTTAATCAAAGTTTCAATACCGTCCTGAGGGCTGAATGTGAATCTTTGATGGAACTTACACGACTACCAAATCACAGATGAAATCCTCCAAAATCCCTAGAGAAACCACTGTTGTCTCTTAAATACAAGGGCTTTATTACTTGTGTTTCCAATTTGTCACTTCAATAAATGACAACCTGGTTTTTATTTTTTAGGCTATTATAATCTTGTCTGCTGGTCGTAAACGTATTAAAATTCATCTTTGCTTTCCAAAAGTAGAAGGGAGAGAAAGTTGATCAACTGAATACAATGTTTTTGCTCTGCCTAGCTTCCAAGCTGCAGCACACAATAAATGTGAGTGAATATGATTTGGTTAACACCAGTTTTAGGAGTATTTGCTGTTCATGGATGCAGCCGGACCTGACAGAGGCAGAACCGAGGGTTACAGTGGTGAGATGCTACAGACCCTTTGTGGATCTGTGACTTCACCATACAAGCCATTTAAACTTGATTCCCTTTATAATTCCCTAGAAAGCCTCTGGGTAGCTCCTGCTGCAGTGAGTCCAGAGTGTGGGCTTTCCTCTACCTGCTCCTCTGCAGTGAGTGTACCTTCACTATTAACCTCCACCATGAGCTAAGAAGCCAGATGATAAATCACTAACTCCACAGCCTTCTACCACTAACTGCAATACCTAGCCAGGCCTTTTATTTCAGGTTTTAGGTAACTGCTCTGGTATTACAAGTCATTGTGTTAAACCAGTCTGAATTTGGAGCAAGAAAACAGGAAAAAAGGAAAATTCTTAATGTAAGAACAAGCAGCAAAAACCTAAAGAACAGCCATATATGTAGGAGATATTATCAGTGGGGTATCTTACAACTTCCATGTCCAGTGTGATTTCTTCTCTAGGAACCAAAATAAAACTCAGAGGAAGAAAGGAAGGAAGGAAGGAAGGAAACACATATTGATGCCATTAGCAGTATGGAGACAATCTCACATGTCTCTTTTCATGCTACGGATCTTGCTGCCTACCATAACAGCAGGTTTCCCCTTGCTAAGTATGACTGTTTAAATCCAGAGCAGAAACCTGGGCTCCCATTGTAAGTATGGTCTTTAAAATGTTGAATCTTATGTCTGAAAATAAAACTGTTGAAGCTTGAATTTGGTTTCTCTCCTGGAGAACAGGCAGCACATGTGAGTCTGGGCAACTCTTGTCAAGCAGTTAAGGTCCTTGCCCAAATAGCTAGATCAGGCCCTTAGAGGGAACACAATCACAAGGAAAAGCTAGCCAGTGCTTAGCTCTGTCTATGCAACGTGCAAGACCTGATACCCCAGGTGTTACAGGCATTCTTCAGTTACATCTTGCATGTGTTGGAAAAGGGATCTCCTTTGCAAGCTACAGTGTAAAATCTACAGTGGAGCTTTGTACTCCATTGCAAATCTCAGCATCACTGTTTGCCTTGCTGTAACCGTAGCCCGTGGTACCCAGGGTGGTGAAACACCTCAGCATCGCTTGGCAGCCCACCTCCTGAAACTCAAGGACAGTCCAAAATTCAAGGAAAATTACCCCAAAACCCCCAGTATTCCTCTTTCTTGTGGTGCTCAGCCCAGCTGTCTGCAGGCAAAAACAATGGACGAGGCAGGCCAGGTACTTACTCTCATCGACCTGTGGGTGCTGAACGACGACTTGGAAGAGCAAGCGGAGGATGCCTGGGTTCTGGGCATCCTGATCACAGCCCTGCAGGGACAAGTTGAAGCTGCCAGCGATATTGGCAGGCTGGCTGTCGCTCAGCTTGAACACCTCTGGGTTGCTGGGGGAGCCAGGGATGTAATACTCGACCCTCTCCTCTTTCCTTTCGCAGTTGGAGAGGCTGTAGTTGTGGAAAAACACGCTTGCTCTCATGTTGGAAGGAACCACGAACTGCCACGTCATGAGCTCATCTTCTGGAAAGCCCAGCGGGTAGTTTGGGGACATCAGGGTGATTGAAGACTCCTCCTTCAAAATGGATTCAATAATGCATAACCCTGAAACGGGGTAGGGGAAACCATACAAAACAAGTTCCAGTTAATGAAGACAAGCTGGCATATCTAGCAGCCCAGCAGCAGAGTATTTTGACAGTGAGATCATCCACTTCAGCTACAGGTTAGGTTATTACAAAACCTTCAGACTAAAACATATACTCCAGTGAATGCTTCTGTCTTTAATTACAGGAAAGGGGAAGGATATAGTAATGCTCTGTTTTCAGTTTAGTGGGTTCACCTTTCAAGCACATGGACAGACAAGCCTGTATTCTTTGGAAAGATCCCAGTTCCTACTTCTGCTCCTGCCTTTGCAAGATCAAACGTGCAACCTGACAACTGCTTCATTGGGTTTTGGGAAACAAAAGATGTGAGCTTTCATATCGGCACCGAGCTCCCTGGCCAAAAACCTCCCAGATCTAACAAGAGCACGCCAGTGAAGAGCCTCAAATACGCACGATAAAACACAAATGTGAACCACGGAGGCTGTGTAAGACACTTCATGCTTGGATGACTCTTGGCAGTGTGAAGCTGGGTACACAGAGATTATGGTCCTGCTCTAAGACCATGCGACGATGTGCAACTGTGAGCAATGCCAGGAGTTACAAAAACTCACATTCTAGAAGCTCGAACCTGGACCAGGTTCCTTCTATAACTGATAGCAAGAACTGCATAACTCAAGCACAGAGCAAGAACACCTCCCAGAGAGGGTTTGTCATGAGATCACAAAGTAACCCAGTGATTGATTGCTATATAATATTCTAGGTATTTTAAGAAGATTATTACACAATGTTTTCTGTTGCTGTGCAGGTTGAAACAGATAGCTGCATTTAAGCAGCCTCATGTGCCTTCCAGGCACTGCTTCCCCTTTTCCCACCTTCCTCTCCTGAAGAAAGGCACTGGTTTGAAGCTCAAGAAGTTACGTAGCTTCATTTAAACATAATCAAACCCAACTACACACTGCAACCAACAGATAACTCTGTTGGCTCATTCTAATTACTCTATCTAGTCTCACCTAGCTGCAAACACAAAACCAACAGAGCAGGTACATTTAAGTTTTAGGAAGTTTAAAGAGATCAAAAATGAATAATATGTGCCAAAAGCAGCGATGTGACAGTTTTTATACCTATCAGCTGACCAAACTAAGATATTTTGACCCCAGAAGAGCACCAGCTACCGAACTAAAACCCATACAACAACAGCTTTTAGAAACAGATGAAGTGGAAGCTCCGGAGCTTATAGATAACAGCACCAAAAAGTTACCCGAGAAGCAAGGCTTAAAGAATTGTGCTGCAATGCGCACAGCGAGGAAACATTCCTCTCCACTCACGTTTTATGGAAGCCCTGTTAGCTATGTTGAAGCCTGAGGTGTTGAGAGGTGAGTTCCATGGGAGGTGCAGAGCCATGATAACTCCTCCCAGCAGCTTGACGCGAGACACGGAGCCGTTCCTGCAGAAGGTGCCAATGTTGACCGTGGCCTGATCGATACAGCTGTTGATGTTGTAGCTGAGGGAATCCGGGCACGTCTCCCCTGGTTCAATCTGCTTCAGCCACGGGGTAAATTTCAGTTCAAGTCCAGCCTTTGTGCTCGCCTTCACGTCCCAGATGAAAGTCCTGTTAAGGCGAGGTAGCGCCGGTGGGTATAGATGAACATCTCCAAAGGGACAGGGGCCTGATACACAGTCTGAATGCAGAGAGAGAACAGCCATGATACACTCTGGAGAGCATCCAAGTAAACAGGCATTTTAGTTTCCCTTTCATTGCTATTTTTCTAAGTTTAGGTTGCTCTTCTCTTTGACATGCACTGAAGGACACTCCTCTACTCTGTGATTCTATGGTCACATGCTGTCTCTAAACAGACTCCTAGCGTAGACAGGATAAACCTGCTTTACTCAGGCTGACTAATAGAAGGGATTCATTGTCTCCAGTATTACTGCCTTGTTTGCTGAAGAACTTAGAAGGTATTTCGTGAACAGGGCAGAGTGCTGAATGGGCAAAAGGGAGAAACACAAAGTCGGGAGAGCTGGAAACCATCGATCTAGGGAAACTATTTTATCCCATCTCTCCCTGAAAATTCCTGGCAAATCATTCGTCTTTAAATCTTCCACTGCTTGCCATGAGCCGTATCTTATTTCCTTGCTGCCCTGATGAACAACCTGGGCCTCAGATTTTGCAGAGGTGATGAATGACAATGGCCACTGCAGGATTCTGGGGAGAACTCAGAAACCTTGCCTCTGAAAAATCCAAATCACTGGTATCTCAAGCTGGACACTAAAAATAAGCACACTTAAACCTATGTCTAGGCTCTAACTTAAAAGAAGAAATATCACAAGTGCAGCTTTCAAACACATCATGAAATACTGTGAAGATTATTATTTGCATCCACCATACGCATAAAACTCCAAAATGTGAAGAGAACCATCCCTGAACACCTCCCCAGAAGTAACAAAGATGCTACCAAAGACTGAATACCCAATGAAGTTTGGGACCTCATTGAGAAGTAGCACGTGTTCCTGCGATTAAAAAGCACATTAACACACATACACCATGGATAACATTCAGTGCAAAGGAAGCTTTAGTTACAACACTTCCAGCTTTTTGGTTTCTTGACTTCAATAACGTTCGTTAAATACAAGGAAACACGTGCATGCTTTCAATGCTTCTGCTGCCCTTATAGGCACAATCAAGCAGTGCTCAGAGGCTTTTGACAAGAAGAAAAAGATTCTTTGATGGGTTTATAAACTGGGGGAAAAGGGAAGGCAGCAGGAACTGATGCAACAACCACGGAACAGTTCGCCAAACAGCCAAGTTAACATTAACACCACCAGCTGTAAGGCTGTTTATCAGCATTCAGATTCTTCTTTCCAAGCTTATAGGGGATACCTTAATACAGTAACAGGAAACCAAGGTATGTGGTTTTACTGGAGGAACATTACCATTGGGGGGGGTGTTGGGTGTTGGGTGTTGTGGAATTAAAACCCTGTATCTTACCAATTTTCTTCTCAATTTCCATGGTGAAATACTTCTCTGGAGTACTACAAGTGAAGGTAAAAGTCGTGTTGTTCCCAGGCTTTATCTTGAGCTCAGACCTGGTGACATTTTTAACCCGAATCCGACAGCTTGGTGGAACACTGGGTCTCAGTTTAATCGTAACCGTGACATTGTCCACTGTGCGAAGGGAGATTGTAAAGGAAGCTAGGAAGGGAAACCAAACAGAGGTGTTCTGTTACTAGCACATATGGGTATCACCAGCCTCTCCACACATCCCCACAGATGCCACGCTGTCAGAAGGAATATCTGCATCCATGTTCTTAGAAGTCTTTGGTGTTGGATTGACACAAAACACCTCGACTCTTCCAGCCCAGCACGCTTCATGTGCCCAGAGAAGTATATATGGAATTAGTGTAGGACCAGTTCTGCTCCACTTCACCTTCACCACATTTATTAAGTGGTTCAGCTATTCCTCTCAAATTTCTGTTGTCTTGATTTTGGTTTTCAGTCTATTATGCCCATCACACAGCCTGCTTCATTTCGGAAGGCACCCATGAAGTCGTGGCTCAGTTCAGGAAGTTTAGCAGCAGCCAAACAACACCACAGCTTCAATCGCACATGACGGTACAGGTGAATCTCTGGATATACCTCAACAATTACAGTAGACCAGATGAGGTATTCCAGCAATACCAAAAGCACATCCCAACAGACATTTATACCTGTGGTCACAGCCCTTTCCCACCTCCCCACCTTCTATAGCTCATTCCCTGAAGGTACAAGATGCCCATGCAATGCCCCTAGGAAGGTATCTGTGGCCTGGGATGGACCATGTGTGCTTGGACACCTCCTCTCCACCCCTGACATGACCATTGCCTTTTTGGGAACACATTAAATCCTCAGCAATCTTCACAGATTTCAGCCCAGCCCCAAGCACTACCAAATGCATGAGAAGCTCTCACAGGAAATACTGGAGCCACAGAACGAACTGCGTGTTGAATATCTTCTTTTACGGGCAGTGATTTATCAACGAATGGACCAATCCCATATGTCTCCTGAAAATACACATGTGATATAAGACACCAAGGAGCACTGACTGCACATTCAGGATGACTAGAAAAGTTATCAGCATCAGTTTGATGGATTAAGCCCAGCCTTAGCGGAAGCATGAGCACACCAGAGACCCTCAACCATCCCACCATCCTTCCCAGGGTGCCACTGGGAACACTGCAGCTTCAGGTTTGCAAACACCAGGCATCAAAAAACCTCCCTGGTAGGGGGAGTACAAAAGAAGAGAGTGCTCAAAGAGTTACTCCATCGTGCTTTCAGTTGAGTTTTGCTGGTCTTGAGCCTTCTTCCAGCCTTTCTGGCTTTTCTACACAATCTTGGAGTTGAGAGACTTAGCAAGTCCTTGAAACTGCCTTACCTATTTGCCTCCAGGATCAAAAGCTTTAAATGAAACCCCTCACTATGAGGCTTGTGAAATTCCTACACATACTTGTTAACAACAAGTTTACTAACCCTGTAATACCATCAGTGAGAGCCTGATCACCAAGCACCTTGCCTCCAGCTTTTAAGTGACAGACAGTCCTCTGACCGCAGAGCCTGATACTGAATTCTCTTGCCTCTTCCAATGCTAGCACTGCTCAGCATCCGTGTTTCTGCCCTAGGAATGCTTGGGCAGAGGTTTCCAATAAGGGGTTTCCCTGAGGGAAAATAAACAGAAAAAGAGGACCATACAGGCTAGGAAGAGTCTAGAGTTTGTAAGTACTGCTGAAAAGTCTGCCCCTTGCTTTCTGGTCAAGCAGTTATCACTGTTCCTTGCCCCATCCCTGGGATAGCACAACCATAGGGCCACACTGGCAGGACAGAGCAACACAAATAACAGCCAGCATTTCTGAACCAAATCATGGAATGGTTTGGGTTGGAAGGCACCTTAAAGCTCATCCAGTTCCAGCCTCCTGCCACAGGAAGGGACACCTTCCATTAGACCAGGTTGCTCCAAGCCCTGTCCAACCTGGCCTTGAACACTGCCAGGGATGGGGCAACCAAACCTGCTCGTGCATGGCCCCAAGACCATTTTTAGTCACGAGGATTAAGTTTAAGCATAACCTTAAGCACATGACTACCTTTAGACCAAAACAAATACACGCCCTGAGCTGAAACCAAGGAGCAGAGATTTTCCATGTTTTGAATAGCATATTGAAATAAGCAAAGCCTCCCTGCAAGGGTCAAAACAAGGCATCATCTTCCCTGGCCTTTGAAAGACTTGACTTCTGCTGCCTGGGTTTTTTGCTCCCCCCCTCCTCCTCATAAGCAGGTAGTCATTTGTTTGATCTCCCTGCAAGAATACCAAATCCTTGTCAGCTCAGTATTAATGATTACTACTGACCTCATGCCTCAGCCTTCCAAAACAGGACCTGCCCTCTCTTCATCACGGACTGTAGTGACAGGACAAGGGGTGATGGGTTCAAACTGAAACAGGGGAAGTTCAGGTTAGATCTAAGGCAGAAGCTCTTCCCTGTGAGGGTGCTGAGGTGCTGGCACAGGGTGCCCAGAGAAGCTGTGGCTGCCCCATCCCTGGCAGTGTTCAAGGCCAGGTTGGATGAACCTTGAAGCAACCTGGTCCAGTGGAAGGTGTCCATGCCCATGGCAGGGGTTGGAGCTGGATGATCTTAAGGTCCTTTCCAACCCAAACCAGTCTGGGGTTCTAAAATCACAGAATTACTTTCATGATCAATGTACCAACATCCCAGTAGGCAACAAGGATGCAGACACAAACCAAATTAAGCTCAGCAAAGCTGTTAGAAGGCCTCACCAGGACAGACACCAAGCTAAATCACTGCATAAAGAAACAGCTTGCTAAGATGAAACTCATAGACAGTAATTTTGGCCAAGAAACAAGAGCACAGCGCTGTAATGTCAACAGCAGGCAGCTGCTAGGGATGTGCTAAGCTACATTAGACTACCAAATCCCATCGCCATAGGAAAAATAGACAAGAAGAATGCAGAAAGTATATCCAGTGATCCCAAAGTCACTAAAAATAAATGGCTAAATGGGCTAAACCCCCCAACCTATAGACACACAGAGCGAACTTTAAAAGCACCTCTATTGCAGAGCTTTTATGAACAAGAGCGAGTTTCTGTGACTCACCCTAATGTGCTTTTGCCTTTTTATTAGGATTACCAGTAACTGCACACGGTTCTTGTAAAGGAGGAATTTCCATGCCTCATCAATGCTGCACAGGGATGACACACAGGATATCCAAACCGACAAGAGGAAGAATTGCCAACCCGGATCTAGACTCTGCCTACACAATGGAATCGTTGGACTAGAAGATGTCAGAGGTGAAGCCTCAAGCCCTGAGCTGGTTCACAGCCTGACACAGGCATCTCATCTCACCCTATTTCTCTTCCTCTAAGCAATTAGAGTTTTGCAGCCTCTCATGGCTGTTTCTTTCACTTCCCTCATCCATTCCCCGCATCTTCTCTGCCGCAATAGGATTTCACCCCTGCTCATTCTCATTTCAGACTGCCTTCACGACAGCTGTCTCACCACAGCATCCCTTTATCACTAGAGTAACACTCCTCTCTCTGCAAGCACACGTTGGCTAGCCTTTTCTCAACTGTGTGATGCTTTTCTCCATACCTTACATCAATTCTATGGCTCAGAGCTCTCCAACTTGACTTACAAACAAACTGCATAGCGTAAACCAAGTAGGATTACTCTGGAGAGTTTAGCCTAAATTTATCTACTGTGGTTGCACCTGACACTAATCTCCTAATATTTTTCAATATGTATATATAAATGTCAAAAAGACATTTTTTTCCTGTACAAGGGTGCAATGTAGAAGAGTAGTAGAGCCAGTGGCACTCATACAGCGTGTGCATACATACATACATACATACAAGGGAAGGACTTGGCAGGGCAGCAATTTTCATGCCTATATACAGTGCCTAAACAGAGCAGGAGTTTGAATGGAGTCCAACTAGTTTCAGGTAGAGGGCTGCGTTTTATTGCAGCAGTTTATCCATAAGGATCTACGGATTGTTTCATGTGACCTCACTGGACAGCCCGAGGAACCAAAGCCCACAAGAGCCACCAACAGGAACGTCCCAGATGTGACTTTCTCCCAAAATGACTGCTGTTTTGCTCATTCCAGTTCAGTCGTGGGCTTGTTCCACTCGAGCCATTTTGAAGGCAAACCAGTTGGATGAGGCTGACTCAGGCACCATTCACAAGCCAGCGGCAGCTGGAGGAGGCAGGTTTGATGCAGAGGACGAGTAGTGGCAATGCTCACTCCGGATATGAAGTATCTGGATCCAAACCCTTGTTCTGCCCGAGGGGGATCTGAACCCACACAACCGACACACACCTCTCCAGAGAACAGGCTTGGCCACCACAGTGCTTCATGCCATCACCTCGACACAGGGGTAGCACCACGGTGCTGTTTGCTCTACAGCTTGGTAGGCTCTCCTGGAAAGCTCAGCACCTCTTCTGCACCTTTTGCAGGGATGCTGGCCTGCATGCATGCTTGTAGCCTGCTGAGGTTGTTCCACCACACATCATCTACTGCAAGGGTCATGACAGAAGCAAAGGGTGCAACTTAGCTAGAGGGATGATGGTTTTAAACTAAAAGAGGGAGATTGAGGCTGGGTGTGAGGAAGGAATTCTGTACAATGAGGGTGGTAAAACACTGGCACAGGTTGCCCAGAGAGGCGGTGGATGAACCATCCCTGGAGACATCCCAGGCCAGGCTGGATGTGGTTCTGGGCAACCTGACCTGGTTGGAGATGTCCCTGCTCATTGCAGGGGGTTGGAACTGGATGAGCTTTGAAGGTCCCTTCCAACCCAAACTGTTCTGTGGTTCCATAACAACACAGTAACCAAGCCATAAGTTAAATGATTTCCACTTCAAGCCACACCAGCTCCTCTCTCTGATCTGATGGATAGCCTAGGTACAGGAGATGTCAGCATTAGGACACATTCAGGGCAATTCATCTAGTGAGGGGACCTCAAGGCTGGCTCCTGCGTGATGCGAATCACAGGCTCCAGCTCCCACATCCCAGTGTCTCAGCCCCAATGGCTCAGCTAAAAGCCCTGCACCTTATCAACCATTTCCCCACCCCCTCCAACACAATTCACTGCACAGTTGACTCAAATTTGCCAACAGGTCAAAGAATACTCAAATAAGTAAACACCTCCC